GGTTTTCGGGGCGTATACTTAACGTGTGTGACTGTCATTAATGCTGCATTTGCGCTCAATGCCACTTACCGCATCGAAATGGCATGAAAAATATTCGCTGACGCCCCAGCGCTATTAATCACAATTATTGTCAGGCAGATTTTCGCCTCCCGCTCCTCAGCCTCGCTCCCTTGAAATATCCTTGCTGGGAATCGGGTCACAGTTGTTATCCGAGTAGCAGGGACATGACAAATTACAACGAGAAGCAAAGTAGGTTACGGATTCTCCTTCGCAGTCGCCCCACTGTTCTAAATCCCTCTAATTGCTGGCGGCCTTTTGTTCCTTCCCCTGAAACGCATGCAAGGGTGAAATGTTCATTTCGCAACGAGTGGGTCACATGTAATTGCCAGTGTGGATGATGCGGGGCTGACTGGCTGACTGACCCGGAACAATCAATATTGCTAAACACCGAAGGCTAAATAACAGGTCCTGTCATTTCAAATTCACAATTCTGGGTTCAAGCTGGGCAAGGTGGAACCCTGAACTAACGGCTGTCCTCATCTTTCGTTTGAATTTTCATCTTTGCCCGTCGAGAAAGAGTATTGCTTTATTTATAAATTGAAAATTTAAATCAATATATATGATGATGCACAGAGAAAATAAATCTGATTCACGTAATATCCTTATTCTGTTAAATATACAAAATAGGTGAAGATTCAAATAAAGGAGGAAAAGGTATTAGAAACTTGGACATTAGCAGTATGTATTTCATTTAAATAAGGAAACGATTCACATGAACAGTATCTTGTATATTATTTTGCCATTTGCAATTATACTTTTTTTCCGTGTAAGAACCAGAAGCTCGCCAGGCACAAATACTTTGCGAGTATTTAAATGTGGCTCTCAGCAAGTATCGAAGGAGCACAGCAGGCGACAGGCGAGGTTATGGCACATTAATAACTAGGAGGGGAGTGCTCCGGCAGGGTGGCACGTAGAAAATGGAGCTGCTGCTTCCTTGGGGGTGCGGCGGGTAAGTTATGCCATTAAAATGTCAAAATTTCAAGCTGCGCCACTTTGACACGCCAAATGAAACGTGGCACGCCCACGCCGACACCTACGCCCCGTGACGTCCGCCAAAAATAAACCCTCACCAAGGAATTCCCCTGTCGTAATTTGTACCAGGGGCAGCCAAAGCTATTTAATACTAATTAGACCCGAAAGTGGTTGGCACCACCATATAACCAACGTGAAATGAGGCCTGGTTCCTCTGGCAACTGTGGCTCCTTTTTCGCACCTATTTGCTTTTGTTTGCCTTTGTTTTGTTTTGGTTCCAATGTCAAAACTTTTATCTCCTTAGAAGGATGCAAAACGCAAAAGTTGTTGTCAAAGTCAGAGGCAAATGTCTTTAATGTGTGCCACCCTGCGAACAGTTGGAATGCAATTGCGAACAAAAGTTAGCCAAGTGACATTTCAAAGGAACAACTTTATCTGCAGGCGCTTCTTCGCACTTCGCACTTGCAATGCGAAAGTTTGAGGCTGTGAAGGCATCATTCCGATATTGATGTTCCACCAGGATTGCTTTCTTTAAGTTTGCTCTGATTCGCCGCGTCCTCGAACTTTCTTAAAGAAAATCTCTTCCGAATAGCGCACAATTAGTGGGGCTTTGGCTCTCAACGCCCAACTCAGCACTTTTCCGGCTCGAGTACACTAAATTCTAATGACCGCCAGCTCTTTTTTCCCATTAGGTGATTTGGCGAGCCAAAAAGTGGGAGGCCGCAAGAAGAAGAAGACGAAATGGCTCAGAAGTAATGCAAAGAAATTGATATGAATGGGCCAAAACTTTTCTGCAACCTGTACGCAAGCAAAAAAAATAAAATAAGTGAGAGGCGGAAAAAGTGTTTTCGTGTGCCAGGTGGCGGATTCTGTTCGAGGACCTGGAACCCAAACCCTCCGAAGTGCGCAAATTAATGATTATTCGGAACCGTTTTTCGTTTGGTCTTGGGGCAAAAAGAAATCTCGGTATAATGCAATCAAAGTTGGGTTAATGCCTGGGGACTGAAGCTGATAACACAGAAAATTAGCAATTTGCCTTAATGTGTCTGTGATTGACCCCAAAGGAAGCTGAAAACCGAAGTGAGTTGAGGCCTCTGAGAATGCCAATTCCCCAACGCGTCATGTTCCCCGAACCCATTACAAAAATTTAAAAACTCGTTCCCCTTTTCTTCTTCCATAATTATTTTATTGATTCTTCTCGCTTGCTATATAAAATATAAATCAAACGCACAAGCATAAGCAAATTTATTTATTCGCCTGGCATTTAATGGGATCCGCAGCAGGGCTCCTGCTTTCGCTCCTGCTTCTACATTCTGCTTAAGATTTGCGATATCCATTCAAGCGGAAAATGTCTGTGCTCACTTAATTTAACAAGTGCGGAAACGCGCCGCAAACAGGAAAGCGCAAACATTTCGACGAACGCGCACAGTCACTCCGAAGTTATTTAAAAGTCTAAAAAAAATAGAAAATATATAAATCATATATTATAAGTGCGTTGGGGGAAATTGAGTGTTTTTTGGACAACTTGTGTACGATTTTTAAATATTTTATTAAAGCCCACTCTTACAAAATCGTAGAATTTAAACTACCATAAACATAAGTGCTGACAAACACGAATGTTTTAGTTAGTTTCTTATAATATGTATTTTATCTATACTAATATTATAAAGAGGTAAAATTTGTTTGTTTGTTTGTTTGTTTGTTTGTTTGTTTGTTTGTTTGCAGCGAATTGGCTCCGGAACTACTGGTCCGATTTAAAAAATTCTTTCACCGATAGAAAGCTATATTATCGTGGAGTTAAATAGGCTATAATTTATTTTGAAAAAAATTAGGGATCCGTAAGAAAATTGCAATATTGTCGCATATAAAGTGACGCTCCCATAGCATTTTAACTCAATTTTTGTGTTCACTGTGAAATTGTAAAAAAAAAGAATTTTTATTCAATTAAGTTAAACTGTGAAAATTATGTGGATCGTGCATTTGAGGATAAATTCACCACTCTGTCCATAGTCCAAAATGCTTAGAGGACGACGTGCAAACATTGGCCGCAGACATCCAAGCCAGCAGCCAGTATATTCACAAAACTTACGCGAAGAAAGACAAATGAGCACATGGAGATCATTAGCATCATTCAATCGCTTGGCATTCCAATATGACCCCACTGCGAACTACAGTGATAATGAAAATTTAGATATTGGACCAATGGCGACTATATACCGATATTGCAGTGCATTAATGTTTAAAAGAGAAACGGCTGGATTGTGCTGCGCAAGTGGAAAAGTCAAACTGGAAAAGTGTTAAATAACCATCTTTCTATACTTCCATATATTTAAAAAATGTTGCAACATTGACTTTTATGTTGTTAAATTGTGTTGACCAGCGAAGCGGACACAGGACCTCTAGTATTTAATATATCTAAAGCAGACTAGATAAATATAATTTCAAGAAACCTCTGAACTTTTTAAATACTTAAGATCAAGCAATTTTTGAATCCGTAAATTTGTCAATTTGAAGAGAATGTTAACAGCGAACAGTAATTTAAGTTCGACACTGGGATGCTGAAATTCTTGAATTTCAAGCTGATTTCTACCGACGGCCGCACCCTCTTTCGCGGACTGAACTCAACGAGAACTGGGGATTGCGGAAGGAGGTTCAGTCATCGAGTGGAGGCACTCGAAAATCTCTTGTAATTTCTCCGCAATTCATGTACACGTTTATTGCGAATGTGCCACTGTGTAAGTGTATCTGTGGGGATTTCGGACTGCCTGTGTAGGTATACGTTTAATTATTGTAATGCTCACTCTGGCGGATTAAGCCGCTCCATCATACATATCCACTTGGTTTGAGTGATGGCCTTGTTTTCAATCAATTATGTGCCAAAACAACTTATTACTGACGAGCATTCTATATCCCGGCATTCAAATACAGCAAAATCAATGCGGCGACTCCCAACAAACAAATTCTGCAAACGAAAACAATAATGTAAGCCGTAGCATTTGGGTGTCATAATACGATTCAAGGTGGCTTGAATACAAGCTTGCTACCTGCGAGTGGCGAAATTCAGCAAAAACAGAACCCTGAAAGTCAAGGAAGTTCCACCCATATGAATAAATTATGTCAAGGTTGTACAGAAAGAAAAACATGTAGAGATGCTCTTAAAAAAGAGAACACTTTTAAGGACGTATCAAAAGAAAATATCCAGAAGAACTAAACTCCAAGAAGAGATCAGAACAATACTTAAATATTAATTGCTGTGGGAATTGAAGCAAATAAAACAGAAATATAAAAATAATAAAAACTTGTTTGCCTACCTGGCGGACTTTGCTGTTACCTTGGGGGCGCAAACAAAATCAAACTTTCTGAGTCACTCGAGTCAAAAGAAAACCAATTTTCGGCATGTTCAAAAACTACTTGAGTACACAATCCTTGGCGATTCGATGGTCGTCGGACTTGAGACTTGAGATTGGGTTTAGGTTCACGGCGGAGCTCGGGTTTCACTTCGGCATTGGCATCGCCATTGTCACATTTCTATTATGTGTTTGGGCTGGCCTTTGTTGCCTGGTAAATATCCATTTATTTGCCGGTCGGTGCGGTGCTCTACTGTATGTGTGTGTGTGTGAAACATTTCAATTTCCTAAAGGACCTGCGGGGCAGAAAAGTCGGAAGGCCGGCCGAGAGTTTGAGCCACATCAAAATAGCCGCCGGCTAGCTTTAAGCATTCCATTAGGGCCAAAGACAAGGCGAAATACGCCATATATATATATATAAAGATATATATTTGTTTTTTTTCTTGGAACTGACCTGGCTCAGTGCCAACTCATTCCAAGGGCCAAGGAAAATGCAGGCCGCAAGAGGAATTTTTGCCACAAAATTAAAAAATGTGGCGGGGCAAGAAAGGGTTGCCATTTTAATATTAATCTCGGCTTAATACGCATTTTAATATATTGTTCTAACATTTTCATTTGCAGTGCGATGTTTTCGACGATATTGATCTATCGGACTTGTGTTACTTCGAGTGCGGCATCAAGAACGTAAATCATAGTTTTCAGGTGAGTCGGGCAGTCGTAATTAAACAATGCTAAGCCATAAAAATGTAATGTGAAAAGTTCGCCCTCGAAGCTCTGATTGCGCACTTTGTTGGACTCGGTATTTTATTTACCTGTGAGCAGGGTGTGCTAATTAGTTTGCCAGTTTGCCAACCCATCTCCCCACCTGCCACACTCGAGTTACAGTCTATTAATTTGGCAAACTCCGAGTAATAATGTGAGGGCGTTTTCCCAAGAGGTGTGATTAAATAAATAAGTCTGCGAGAACCGTCTCATCTGACTTTGATATCCTGTAGACAGAGAGCAGGAACTTCCTGTTTGTCATTGTCTGGCATATCACACACACACACACAAACACCGCAGTTAAACAAGGACCTGGAGTACACAATTTTATTTTATTTCCATACAGTCAAATAGAAAGAGGAAATAAGAGAGCAACAAAGCAGAAGTCAAGCCGAAAACAAAAGAAATCGAAGGCAAATGTTTACACTCAACGCGGGCTGCATGCTAAATTACCATAAGTAGGCAAACTCCTGCCAGTCGGAGATCCAAAAATATATATCCTCTCCTACGTATAAACTTACTTCTCCGCTTTCTTTTTCATACACGAATGCGCAACATTTGATGCGGCAAATTAGAGCGTTTATAGGGAGTCCTCGCGGAGCGGAATCCTTGGCTTGAATCCTGCTTGTTGCTCAATTGCGTGAGCCCCGCCAATAATAAAAATCTCAATATATATCTCATATATATCTTTATAATAAAAATAATAAATTTGCCAGCCGAGCGAATAAGGGAGGCCTAACACGGGAAATTGCCAAAAGGCTTTTTCTCCTCTTCACTTTTTTGCTGAAAATGTTATTAGCGAAGGCGGTACCCATCATGGTTTTTATTGTCTTTTGCCAGTTGGGTTTCCACGGCGGCTGGCGTGATTCGAAAGTACCCTCGAGCGTATACATATACGTAAGGTGTTATAAAAGGGAGCGGAAGGAGGTGATTTGAAAAAGTTAGGGGTTGACGCACCTTAAAGCTAGTCAAATATTTTGATCCTGGCTGAACATTTTTATTTTACAACAGTCCAAATGTACATGGCGAATGATGTTTCTTTGTTTTGTCAAATTCAAAGCAAATTCGATTTGATATGCACAAGGACCGCCCACAGGACGAGTGTCCTGACAAAAGCAGTGCACCCGAGGCCCAGCGAGAGCCTGACAACAATGTCAGCGACACATAAACCGCAAACAAAAACGGAAGCCCTCGTTGCAATCGTCAGCGTCACGAAAATATAACAGCAAATAAGCCAATGAGCGGAACATTCAATAAAAATACGTATAGAAAAACACTTTCATGGAAAAACCAATTTCCCGTGAAAAGACCATAAAAAGTTTTCCATCAATCTTGATGCACAGAAGTGCAAACGGATCAGGTTCGGCACCGTAAGCTTTTCAAACGTGTGTACAGATATGAATGAAAATATAAGAGCTACATTCTCCTACATGTCCTTACAGCTTTTCAATACTGTATACTCGTATTATTTACCTTTGTCCTAAGATTAAATAAATAATAAATGGAAATGGCATTAGGATGAGCAAGTTATAATTTTATACAAAATCTGGTTCCACTGTTGGTTTGGAAATTTAGCTCAAGTCACTGCAATTATTATTATATTATTATTATTGCAATTTTTTAACCGTGATATATTAACATCTTTAGCAGAGTGCAGAGTACAGAAAACTAAACAATAAGCTTTCAAGAAACTTAGGAACTTACTTACCAGAGTAGGGAACCCTCTTCTTGGAAAAGAATATTTTAAAAGTGAGTAGCTGATGTAAGCTTTTGTGTTTTATGGACAATCTACTTACCTCTTTTAACGACGCCAGCTGTTTAAGCCCTATTTCCTTCGAGGTGTCAGACCTTTAAACAGCTGTTCGGCATCGAAAGCACGTAAGCGACAACTTACTTGCGGCCACGTGCCACACAACTTTGAAGTTACAAATAAACAATGACAGAAGAGGTTTACTGAGTCTTTGTGCAGTAAGTGGTGAGCGCATTGTGCGCCAATTCCCAACGCAGAGTGTTTCGTGGCTTAAGCCGATTCTCGATGTAAGTACCCGGAGTGGAACTACAAATTGCATGGCTGCAAAACGTCGTGGGTTCGTAATACTCGGAGTCTTAAAACCAGCTGAGGGTGATTCCTATTACCACATAATTTATACAATATATTATTCTGTCAGTTGACAGTCGGAATTCTAAATAACCTTTGCTCTTTACATCATCAATCTTGGAAATTTTTGGGCTACACGAAGTGGGCTCAGATGGTTTTTCTGTAACCATTGTTACGATTCTCGGTTATTGTGCGACTTTCAAAAGCAATTTAAATTTCCTTTGCTTTATCCGACCCTTGTGTTCAATTAAGTTGTGTAATTATCACAAAGTGCATTGGTGAGTAATCCACTGGGATACCAATTAACGCGCACCACTTAAACAACATCAAGTACCTTAAACTATTCTAATATCAGCAATAATTAACATACTTCACTTAACGAGAAAATTTCAAGTGCCCCACAAAACATCCCTTCAACATTTGAACTCTCCAACAATTTGGTAAAGCAATCAAGCTGATTGATTGCCTCTGCCACACACATCGTCCAAAGAAAACAAGAAGCGTCGACATCAATTATGCAAAATGAAACTCAACTTCTGTTAATTTCACACCATACCACGCGGCGTATGCGTAATGCGCAATTTGGCCTTCCACTGAACTCGCAAATTGGACAAAATAAACCGCCATTCATGGTCGCAGCTCAGTCCCCAAAGCTCATTTTGAAAAATAAGCAACTTTTGTAGCTTATCCTAGAACTTAATTGATATCCAAGAACAAGAACAACAGCAGTTACCAAAGTTATTCCACAACGTCAAATATTTTCATAATTGAGTGAGCCCCGCATTTTGACTTGTTTCTTGGCAAATGTCAAAGTCAGAGGAATCAACAAATGTCTAATTGTTTTATTAGATTTAGCAATGATTGGGGCCCCTGAAAAGTTTGCTTTTCCCAATTTAAAGTTATAAGGTCAAGAGGTTGGGAACTGCGAACTTTCTAAATGTCATGTGCCGTCGCCTAAATAATTTGTTATTTCAGCAGAAAGTCACCGAGTTATTTGTCAATGCTCTTGGTTAATTAAGGGTTGGCATTTGCAGTTGCTTTGTTTCTGAATTTATTGTAATCTGTTTAATACATTCTTGAATTATAGACAAGATGCTTTCAGCTGTTGGGAATTAATTTCATTAAATCAATTATGACGCACAAATATTTTTAGTTTCAGTGTTAATCAGAGCATTGCTTTTATGCATTGTTTATGATTCATGATAAAGCTTAAAGTGCAAAGTTAAAACATGTTATTTTCCGAGAAACGTCTTCAAAAGAAAAATAAATGAAAGCACACAAAGCAGTGGATTATTAGTTTTCCGTTCATCTCGACCGCCCCTGAGGCACTCCCACAAGTTGAAAAATACAATTTTTCACATTTGCTTTTGTAAAAGCGTTAGCAGTGTTTCAGGTAATTGAAACACACCCAGCAGGCTAATGTCTGTCCTCTGTCCTTGGACTTCCAGAGCTCAGGAACACATAGTATTTTAAACCATTTGAGAAAAGACGACCAGGAAAATAATAAACAAGATGCCTGACAAGGAAGTCTAAAGTGTTATTGCCTAACTCGTCTTTGAATTCTCAGCCTAATCTCTCACTTCAAATAAACTTGGCTAAACTTCTTGACGAAAGTTACACAGAAAAAGTTAAATTACTTTTCTGTGCATTTTATCCCACCAATTAAAAATCATTGCTATTTACCTTGGTTTGACTTGCAAATGAGAATTCAAAATGTGAACACTCCAAATGAAGAAAAATCATAACATCGGCTTAGCATACTGGAACCAAACAGGCATTTCTTTTCAGCATAAAAGACTTTATAAGAGTCAAAAATTATTTTTCAAATTCATTTACGAGCGGAAACAGAAGTTGAAACTACACAATTTAGTCGAATGACCGAGAAGAGGCTCCTTTTGAAAAAGTAATTTTATAAGTTCTTTTTCTGCGGTAATGAAAAAACCGGAAGTTTGTGTTCCTGTCTCTTTTTTAGGATACTAAGTGTAAGACAGGGAAATACGCACTTTTACTGTATACAAACAATAAATGTGAGACTGCCAGAGACTGCCAAACATTTTTGATGTGTTCGCCGGGGGACTGCGCGGCGTATGCGTAATTTGGCTGTTGCTTCCGTTCCCGCTTCTCGTTGCTTCTCGTTGCTCCTCGTCATGAATATTTTGGCGACTGAAGCGTGGTGGGTGCCACTTCAGTGTTTTGCGTAATGAATTCTGTCGTATGTCGAGCAAAGTGAAAGCGGCACAGTGGTTCCGAGAAATATTGGTTATAAGATATATTCATATTTTCCCAAATATTAATACTCTGACATTTTCGGTACGGTGTAATAAATAAGCTTTATCCTTCGCTTATTTATGTAACCATAAAAAGAATACTGAGTCTTGATTTTATTTTAAAAAACACTTATTAGAATACATTTTATTATTAACAAGGTTATAATTTTCAAACTTTTTATATATTAAGAATTAAAAATAAATATAATACCTACATATGTATGTCTGGATTTCTTGGCATTTTTTTGGTTGAATATAGTGGAGCTTTGCTCAGAATAATTTTTTGTAGTTCTTTGCTTCTTAGAACTTAAGGTTGTGAGTTGTCACAACACATAGATGAGTATTTTCATTTAAAGAAGTACCTAAATGTTAAATAATATAACCACAGTTGGATGGATGCGGGTTTGTTTTTGTTTATCTTTCTGACGTGAGTACGGCCCATAGGATTTTAGACATGAATTTGAGTCTGCGGTTGACTCCTGTGTTCAAGGCCGAAGGCGAAATGCAGAGCCAATTTAAACCGATTATTTGAGAGGCGCCTGAGCTTTGAGACGTCAAAGACCTCATATGAACAATTTAATTAAATTTACCCAAGTGCCGTTTATTAACTATAACATTTTTGAAATGCAATTTATATTGATTTTGCGTAAAGGTCAATAGAATCCCAACGTTAATTGAAGTTTCCAGACTTCGTTGGCAAACAATGCGTCCCATTACTTTGCATATAAAGGGTCATAAACATTTTTATTGGTTTTAATGAAATATTGAATAAATTTGCACAGCGCCTTGTTGAGTTTTTTCACCGCCAGCGTGAGGTTGAAAAAGACCATGAAGTCCTGCATGTTGTCGCCAGACCCCGCATACTGTCGATTCCCAATGGAAGAGGACGACAGAGGACATCTGTCCAAGCCATTTTATACCGCTGTGTTCCGTTTTTATGGTTTTATTTTTTTTGCAAGTGAAAAACATCGGAAAGGCGAAAAAAAATTGCAACTCAACACCGCGAACGGGTCAGCAAAGAACTACTCGTGGCAAACAGGAATTTATTGCTCCGCAGATTGGCTTTGTCCGCTGATTGGTGGATGCCCAGAGGTGCCACTATGTGGCTCATAAAAAGTGAACACCCACTCCATTGAAATATGAAATGGTGATTAAGAGTGGGAGGCAGCCAAGCTCAGATATCCTGCGCCACTATAGCTTTTAATGTCGGTGTAGTAATCTTTGTCATAAACATGAGTTGTACCTTTACAAGCTCAGTTTTATTTACAACAATTCCAAAGCACTACTAATAATAAGACTTTGCAATAGACTTATACAAGGAATACCATTAGGTGGAAGCACTAACTACCTCATAAAGTATATATACAATAGGGCTATAAAATAAAATTGAGGCACAGAAAACTATTTAAGACCAAGTTCAAAGTTTGACATGCAATTTAGACTATACTACTAAAAATCCTTTAAATTAAAAGCAAGCTTCCTTTTTGCTACGGTAGAAAGGGTGGGGACTTTTTTAATTTCAGGACAAACAAATTATTCAACCATCGGGCCACTAAGGCCACCATCCAAATGGAGTTAAAAACAGATTAATATGACCAGTTGAATTGAAAAACCAGTGCAGCTGTCGAAAGTTGCAGTTCTGTTTCCTCCGAAGCTTAACGAATTTCGCAGAATTTCCGGAGGAAAATGGCGGTAGGCGGTAGGCGGTGGGTGGCCTTCGGTTGGCGTCTGTAAGACACAACGAACCGCACGCCCCGGATTTTCGTTTAAAAGCAAATCCATGTCGCAAACGTCAAAGTCAGACGAAAGGGAGCAGGGAGATCCCCGACTTGCCACCGCCACCCAAGCCCAGAAGGCGCGTGCATTGGGAATCACTTAACCATTGCACATTAGGCTAATTGAAAAGCAGGAAGAGCCCACGGGCCAGGATTGAGTGCCTGGACGGATGGTGATAATGACGATGGCGATGACTTTGCGGTTGCGGTTGCACCTTAATTGCAACATCGGGTGTGCAAACAGGCCGTTCTTGATCCCTTTGATTGGAATTTCTGGCTTTGCGATCTGGTGCTTAATTAATGCGTTTGAAATGCAATTAGTGCAGCGGTTGTTTGGCCGGCATTCAGTTATTCCATTGGCCACCGCTATTTATTGATGAAAGTATGAATGCGCCAGGTCTTGTTGGCCTTGTGGCCAAGAGCTTTCGCCACTTTGCTTCGAATCGATTGGCCCGAGCTCACTTGGCTGTCACAACAACCGCACATTGTGCGGTTTATGTCAAGACCTTTGCCTCCCCCCTTCCCCCGTTTGCAGGTCAGAGGTCTTGTCAGCGTCAACTCATGACATTGGCATGTCAACTGGCCATTGTCAAAGCCAACCCACTGAGTCCAGTGCACTTGCCTTGCATAACTCGGCTGGCAGGAGCTTCCTCCTGGAATGCTTGATTTATTAGACTCATCTGGCACCCTTTCGGGCCAGAAGGTTAATTACAAAATCTCATTAAGCCCGGGCATTGAAATTGATGGTAAAAAACAAAGTCATAACTTCACCTTGTCTAGACAGTTTGCCAGTTCATTAAGTCAATAAAATACTTAGTTACACTAAAACTAGCAAAACAAAAGGGAAACTGGGAAAAGAGCCAACGGAAAATTCCCTGGAAGGACATGCTCCCCATAAATTGGGCAAGGCTTAATGGGAGTTACGGAACACCAGGATCATAATCCGCTGAGGTAACTCCGAAGGCCGGATATATTATTTTTGCGGGAGGTCATGTGGTTGGGTGGTTGGTGGGCGGGTTATGGCCACTTGAACGGGCTTATACGGCGGCTTGTCCTTCTTACGGGCTTGGCACATGACCCTAAGCCTTCGGCTGGCTCAACTGTCTGCGCATTATCATTAACATGAGCAGCATTAGCATATTAATGAGGCCACCGAAACACATAATAACCCCTCCTTTCATTACACAACTAATAAGCTGGCCGCGGTTTGGGCCCGCGGGTGTGCACATTTTCCAGTTGCGGGCTAAGGGCCAATTATGTCAACCGGAAATTAACCGCCCATAATGGACAAGGTCTTGTGTACTATTGTTTATCTCTGCCCTTAATTGTCCTTGAAAATTGTGATTTCGAACATGCATTGGAAATCATGATTGAATATTAGCTATACTTATCCCGCTCTTATTTATCAAGTACGTCTTGAGGCTTTAATTAGCTTTTCCAAATAAAAACAATTTTACTCTAGTTAAAATAAAAGTAATGGAATTCTAATACGAACCTCAATAATATATCTAAGAAATATATTTTTATTTCATACTATCAGAATATTATTAAATATTAATATTGATACAATATTAAAGCAACTGAGCAACGCTGTTGCATAACAAATTATTATATGTTTAATAAATTGTTACAGTATATGTTTGTTATATATATGTATTTTACTTGATAGATGGTTTTACTTCTCGGACACTTAATTTTAAATTGACATTTTAATATTTTTTTAAACCTGGTATTTCTTTTCCTCCCGCAGATAATCACCCCCACTCGCTCTTTGGTGCTCTGCGCCGAGTCCCGCCGCGAAATGGAGGACTGGCTGGGCAGCCTGAAGACGGCGACGGCGCCGCAGCGTCCGCGGGGCGACAGCTTCCTAATCGAGCAGCACGACATCCTGTCGAACCACCACCACTGGTACGCCACCTCCCATGCGCGACCCACCTACTGCAACGTGTGCCGGGATGCCCTCTCCGGGGTCACCTCCCACGGACTCAGCTGCGAGGTGTGCAAGTGCAAGGTGCACAAGCGGTGCGCGGCCAAGTCCATTGCCAACTGCAAGTGGACCACCTTGGCGAGCGTGGGCAAGGACATCATCGAGCAGGCGGACGGCATCATCATGCCGCACCAGTGGATGGAGGGTAACCTGCCCGTATCCTCCATGTGCGCCGTCTGCAAGAAGACCTGCGGATCGGTGCTCAGACTCCAGGATTGGCGGTGCCTCTGGTGTCGCGCCACCGTCCACGTGGCCTGTCGTCCCCAGATGGCAGTGGCCTGCCCCATCGGTCCCGCCAAGCTGTCCGTGGTGCCTCCCACAAGTGTCCACTCTATCAGCACCGACGACGCCTGGGATGTGGCCAGTCCCAAGGGCAACTTCTCGCCCCTGTTGGTCTTCGTCAACTCCAAGTCGGGCGACAACCAAGGAGTGAAGTTCCTGCGGCGGTTTAAGCAGCTCTTGAATCCCGCACAGGTCTTCGATCTCATCTCCACGGGTCCGAGCCTCGGACTCAGGCTCTTCCGCCACTTCGAGATGTTCCGCATCCTGGTCTGCTCCGGCGACGGATCTGTGGGCTGGGTACTTAGCGAGATAGATCGATTCAACATGCATGTAGGTTTCTACATACTTAGCAATACATATTGCTAATAATAATAACAATTATTGATATTGTAAAAAGCTCACAAAAATACCCTGCTATTAATTAACCAAAAAATCTTTATTAAATTACGATCAATAGTAAAAGTAATAAAATATTTAATTCGTGATAATCATCATATAATATTTCAGATAAATATTATAAAACTTTAACAAAAACGCTCCCGTAGTCGTTGCTTCCCAAAAAGTTAAATTCATTACAGATATTAAAAAAAATTATCTTTAATTCTAAAGTTCTTAAAGGCTTAAAGGCTTTTTTCTTTAAATTAATAAAAAAAGTTGATTAATAGCTATGCACACATTAATTCAATTCAATTCAATTCAATAATTTTGCTTTATTTTCCACTATCATTTTCAATTTTGCTTAAAGCTAACAAATTTTTTTATTTAGACTTTAGACTTATTAACTATTATAGATAGATAATATTATATTATTTTGTTTATTTCATATTTATTTGTTCATTTTTATTTACATTTAATTACCCAAGGAAAATGCATACCATTAATTAATTTTTATACCCTTGCAGAGCAAAGGGTATTATAATTTCAGTCAGAAGTTTGCAACGCAGTGAAGGAGGCACCTCAGACCCTATAAAGTATATATATTCTTGATCAGCATCACGATCTGAATCGAAATCCGTCTGTACGTCTGTCCGTCGGTCCGTCTGTCCGTCGGTCCGTCTGTCCGTCTGTCCGTCTGTCCGTCGGTCCGTCTGTCCGTCTGTCTGTTTCTATGTAAACTAGTCTCTCAGTTTTGAAGCTATCGCGCTGAAACTTTCCCAAAAGTTGTGTAGTTATTGCACGCAGTATATAAGTCGGAACGAGCCGGATCGGCCGACTATATCGGATAGCTCCCATACGAGAGATTGAAAAAAAAAAATCTCACTCCGTTGTTTTTGATCAGATCGACTTGATTTCTTTCAGATGGCGTTTTATAACTACTATTGAATTTCGGTTTAAATTTTATCGAAATCGGATAACTCTATCACATAGCTGCCATAGGAGAGATCAACAAATATATATAGAATTAATGGAAATTAATTGATAACGTCATTGTTTTTCATCACACGACTATGATTTTTTGAGTATCAAGTTTTTTAACTAGCCTTGATTTATAAAAAAAATTTCATAAAAATCTGAAAACTATATCATATAGCTGCCATAGGAAAGATTGAAAAATCTATATAGAATTAACGGAAATAAAATGATAAATGATCGTTATTTATCATCAGAAAATCATGATTTTTGGAATATAGAGTTTTCTAACGACTCTTGAATAACAAATAAAATTTCATCAAAATCGGAGGACAATATCATATAGCTGCCATATGAACAATAGTCAAAAATATGGAAAATTAATAGATAAGTCTCGTAGCTCCGATGTTGTTTAGCCTTTGTGTATTCTGTTCGAAATATTTGCGGACTGCAAGGGTATATAAGCTTCGGCTTGCCGAAGCTAGCTTCCTTTCTTGTTTTTTTTAATTTTAAACTCTTTGTATTTATAGATACAAGTCTATACTTTTAGGCAAATGAAGTTACTATAAAACATAAAATTTCTTCCCATCCTATACAGAAACAATGCCAGGTGGCCGTGATGCCATTGGGCACTGGCAACGACTTGGCCAGGGTTCTGGGCTGGGGCTCCAGCTGCGACGATGACACCCACCTGCCGCAAATTCTGGAGCGGTACGAGTCAGCTAGCACCAAAATGCTCGACCGCTGGAGCATCATGGTCTTCGAGAAGGCCATTCCAGTGCCCAAAACGCCCAAGATGTCGATTAGCACCGAGCAGGAGGCGATGCTCACTGGCATGGTGACGTCGGCCAACCACCATCTGCGATTCATCGTGGAGACCAACGACACTCAAACCTTGATCAGCTCCACGAGGAATCTCTGCGACACCATTGACGACCTGGTGTGTCGCATCTCGGAGCACCATAAAGACGACGAACAGCTGGCAGTTAAGTGCGACATCCTCAGGCAGAAACTGAACATGCTGCTGGATGCTTTGCAGGAGGAGGAGATGGGAGCCCACAGCGGCGACGACTTGATCGCCACCATCAGGAGTCTCATCGCGAGGAGCATTCCCCTGACACCAGGATCCAGTGCCTCTCTGCTGTGAGTAACTCTAACGTGATTCTTATTGGCGTTACCAGAATAATAATAGAGTATAGTGTACTTGTTAAAAAGTATGTAATAAGTAGAAAAAACCAAAATGAAAAAAAATCTCGTAAACCAGCTCGAAAGATGTCATAAAAAGTAGGTTACAACTTTTATTGCACATTTCGTGGTTAAAACCATTTAATGAAAGCGTATTGCGATTAAGTACCCAAGTTCTACAAAAAAATTTCTAACATAAGTTACTGCGCCTTAACCACTTTAAAGAGTCGGACAATATTTAAAAAAGGTTTTGAAGTGTGCTACACTTTTTGAAGCCAGTGAAAGTAGTACCATGTTGAAGTGAATTAATTTTATGATTCTTTTTAGGTATTTCATTTTTTATGAGCTCATGGATTTATCAAAAAAGTTGTAATTTAATTTAACCTTATTTCCTTTAGCAACCCAAACATATCAATTGAAAAGACCGAAAAAGACCAGATTAACACGAAGGAGCGCAGGAACAGTCGGTCGCTTCGCTCCAGCGAGAAGGAGGCGCTCCAGTGCCGCGCCAACAGCGTCAAGCGAGCCATTTACAATGTAGTGGAGCACTCGGAACCAGGACGTCCCAAACGCTACCAGCGGAAGCTCTCGATCACGCCGTTCGAGGCACTGAAGCTGCCCACCACCACTTCCGGGGAATCCACGCCCTGCGGCTCCCCCTTGCCAATAATCCCGCCCATCAATATTATCTCCCCCACCATGGAAACCTCCCGACTTACCTGCATTTCTCCTCTGCCTGATACTCGACGCGATTCCGTGGACGAGAACTTCTTCAACAGCATTAATCTTCCAGCTCCGCGACAATTTGCAGACAGCCGTAGGAGCTCTGGCGTTGAAGTGATTCAGGAGATCGAGGAAGGTGCCAATGGGGAGACGGTGTACCGAAGGAGTCGCATGTCCTTGTCCGGTGGAGCCAATATCGACGATGATGGCAATCGATTGTCACCCAGCAGCGATGGTGGCGATAACACGCCCACCGAGCGCAAAGTGGACTTTCTGCGGGTTCCGATTCATACTGGTGAACCGATTGTGGATCCCTTATCCGATTACCGACCCCACGAGGTTTTCGAGCGTACCTACTACATGACACGGGAAATGGACAAGGATAAGGAAAAAGAGAAGGAAAAGGACAAAGATGTGGAGGAGGATAAGGAGAAGGATAAATGTGTGGAGAAGGAGGACACCACGCCCACCGAGAAGCTAGTGCACACTTGTAGTCTCCAGGTACCCGGCGTTGTCGTTACCCCCCAACTCCCAAAACGTTTACACAAGCGCCAGTCTAACAATCATTGATACCGATGCACAAACCACCACCGTACGTGTCTCATTTTTCGAACCACCTCACCCCCATGCCGACCACCTAACTCTGTTTGCTCTTTGCAGGAACAATCCTCCTCCGACGATCTGGGAAACGAGGCCAGCGATGTTCTTTCGGCCATTAGCAATGAGGAGTGCAGCGTGGCTTCCGAGATATTCGATAAGCAGGACCCCGGTCAAACCGTGGGTGATATTATTCAGGTGAGAAATTGTATTTGGTAGGAACATTCCCTATGGTGGAATTTCTTTATGTCTATAAATGTGAAAGGTTGCAAAGTGAACAAAGCAATTAATTGGCGCCCTCGGGTGGGTTGAAGTTTTAGGTTCTTGAATGTAACCTTACCTTATACAGGCATATTCAGCTATTAAAAATCTCTTTTTATCATACAGAATATGGATGCTAGCAACTTCACGCACATTGATTCCCCGGAAACCAGTGACGAAACGGAAGCAATGCCCGGCGAGAGCATCATGGACGACATCAGCTCGGTGCTGGGGCACGACATCACCTACGCCCTGCAGGACAACACGCTGACCGACGACACCACCACCCTCTGCTCGGAGCACGCGGGACCACCGAAACCGCCTCGCAAGAAGTCCTTGAGCGCCTTGACCCGCGCGCAGCCGCATCCGCGCAGACGCAACTCGTCTCCACCGCGCATCGCGCGACTGGCGCGAATGGACAGCGACGATAATCCGCAGCAGTTCGGGTTCGAGAACATCGTGTTCGAGATCGACAACAGATGCGACGACCAGAAGATGCGGGAGCCACCGCGCTACTGCAGCCTGGCGCAGTTCGTGGAAGGTAACGATATAGCGCGTCAGAGCTTCAAGGTAGGTATCCCAGCCGATCGGGCTTGGTTAGCTGTATGTCTAGCTTGTATGTATTTGTACCGAGCGTATCTAGAGTTGTTCTGTATGGTTGTCGGCAGTGCTGAGATATGGCCACTTATGGTATACTCTTTGTTGCTCTACGTTTGCTTCTTTCTTCAACTTTTCTTTTTCGGCTGTTCAATCGAATCAACCAACCAACATGTAACCAAATATTAACCTGCCCAAAATCGAACTAACCAAAATCGAAACCAAACTTAAACCACAATCAAAAAACCTGCAATGTACAAAAACCATCGACTACTAATTATAATCCTGCTCCCGCTGAAGCGTCCCAAAAAGCGCATCTCACTGAAAAAACCGAAACCCACTACAACCAATGAAATCGTATCTCAACAGCAGCTAATGCTAGAACAACAACGAAGCGGCGACAACGATATCGACGACCCGGATGCCCAGCAAACGCCAACGAACACGGTGGCCAATTTACTGGCCACCACCAGCGAGGACGAGCTGTCCACGCAGACGGCCATCAAAATAGAAATTCAAGACGTTGATGCCACTGTGCGCAACATCAACAGCAGCATGAAGGCCAATACGATCTTGACCACGTCGACATCGCCCACGAAGAAATCGGGCCATGGACAAGATGTAAAGCGCATTACTTTTGATGAGTCGTGTAAGAAAGAATCCTTTGATGATGTAAATCCCAACTATCCACAGATAAGTGTTGTTGTAAGACCGCCGACGCCGTTGCGCGGCGACTGCATCAAGCCCACGGTTTCGCTCCTGCCTTGCCCCTCCGGCGGAGCCCTATCCGTGTCCATGGGCTGCTCCGGATTGCTGGGAGTGCGCTCCCTGAACGCCTCCGAGATCAGGCGCCACTCGAGCCACGCCCCCGGGCTGGCTGTCCGCGAGTTCGACAAGGACAAGGACCGCCGGCACTCCGGCTTCAATCCCAATCAGCTGACGCTGGACCCGGAGCACGCCCGCTTCCTCAGCAGTTCGCCGGCGGCCAGTCGCAGGATCAGCTGCGGCAGCCTCTTCAAGGTGAGTCCACTCGCAGGACGGCCTGCATCGTCTCTCCACAACCAGTACCCATGTTGCACTCCCTTAACGAAAGTGGCACAACAAACAAGTTCGACACGATTAAAGGTATCCCAAAGATAATGGTATTCTCAAAGGTATTGCAGAGAAAGCTTTAACTCTTTTATATGCAATGAAATATTAGATAATAAATGCGATATGGGATTTATTACCAATTAACAACCGGCTTGAATTAACAACTGGAACTTAAGATAGATTTATTAACTGTAAGAGCACACACTTCTAATTTTAAAACCAGACTATATCACATAAACTAACTTATTACACATGCTTAAAATCAAAAGAGCTACATTTTGAATGAGCTCTCAATAATTTAAAAGTGTATTTATTTCAATAGAAGAGTTCTATTGGCTTTCTACGTGAAAGCTTCAAACACTTCAATGTCAAATTTTGAGTTGTGCTACTTTTGTTAAGTGCGTGCAACATGTTCAATCCAAATTGGCACCGCATCGTCGGCAATTGCGAAGTTATTGAGTTTCGATTGTGTCAGGCGAGCAATTGGTGTCAAGTGCAAATGCAAGTGCAGAGTGCAGCTCTCATACAGCCACACACAATCAACAGCGACTGTAGGTAATGGTTCGAACCAATAAATCCCAGTCAACCACCAACCACCAGGGAGTCTTGCAAAAATCTGGATTGAGTTCCAGGTACTCACGTATTTTTGGTTTGCAGCTTACACAAACATTATTTGTTGAAAACATTTTGTGCGAGTTTAAAGTTGAGAATTATAAGCAGTTTTTAGTAATTTTAATTTTGTTTAGAAGAATGGTTAGTAGAACTAGTTTTGAACCAATCAAGCCTGACCTTAAGTTCTTTTTGTTTAATTGGCAAATTATTAGCAAACTATAATTATAATAGTTTGAAACTAATACCAAATCGTACAAGGTGTTTTAACGGGATTTTTATTTTTCACCTTTTACTTAAGTTTCCTAAGTTCATTTTAACAGTCTAAACTAGAACCAATACAAAATAAAACCGAATAAAACAGCCATGAATATGATTTACAAAAGCACAAAAACAATTGGTACGTATTTCAAAATTCATTCAACTATATGAGCTTTTGATTTGGATATTCTTAACCAACACTTGAAAACACCTCACCACAATGACATTATTCAGCTAAAAACAATTCAGTGTAATTAAATATAAATAAGCACATACTGTAAATGGATACCATACAAACTTAAACACGATTTTAAAAGCAAAGTCATTCTAAATACATTTTCTTAGAAGAAAAACCAAAAGATCGCCACCAAGCGCGGCTACGGATTGTTCAGTGTTCGGTTCTTTGTGGTGGCCGAGCCAGATATTCGCCTGGCCACCCTGGCACTTATCAGGCCGTTGATTCCTCTGGTAAGCCAGTCCACAAATCCGGGGCGGGGTTCCAAGTGCTCCTCCCCCCTCCCTCTGTTCTGACCCCAAACCGTTTCTGCGTTCCTTCGTTCGTTCGATGTGTAAATCCCCAGCAAAAGCAAATATCTGAATCTACCGAGTAATCAAGTAAAATCTTCGGCCTGACCGGAGTGGACCCGCTACAAACTAAATAAAAAAAAAATTTGTTTTAAGAACTTATTCATTTAAATCTCCATTTGCTCAGTATTTTTCCACATTAAGTTTTCCGAGTTTCAACTTTCAAAGGTTACAGAAATTTATTGAATAATTAATTACAAGAAAAAGCGTTTTCGAATCTTATAATTTATTTTAATACACTTATTAAGTTTTGTAGTGGGTCCCCAGCAGCAAAAATATTAATAATCTCCTCTGTACAAAGCGTCTCTTTAAAGTGCCAGTTGCAGATCCTCAGCACCTGCGTCAGTTCGCTTTTGAGTAGTATTGCAAAGTAATCAATAAGTAAACAAATCTGTTAACCAACACTTAAACGAAAACAACAGACACACGTAGTCTCTGCTTTAATACCTGACCATCTATAATTTCTATTGTTTTGTTGGTTTTACGTAGTGTGCTGTCTCCTATGCTCTGTCCTACTCACACTCACTCCGCCTCCGTATCTCTCTCTCTCTCTCTCTCTCTCTCGCTCTGTCCCTCGAAAAGTACTTACCAACCCTGCGCCGTAATTGCAAGTCACCCAACACTGGCACACTCACCCACACAGAGTCACACTCGATCACATCCACATGTTTCTTTGTATCGTAGTTAGTGCTGACTTTCCGGTTGCTCTTTGACACGTACTCGACTTGTCCGGATTTCGGGATCCCCCCACTAACCGCATACCCTCTCTTGCAGCCGAACGAAGCACTTCCGAATCTCCAGACCCTAAAGGGTTCCAAGTCGAGCTTGTTTATGGGCTCAACGCTTTTTGGTTTCGATCACTTCGCCGCCGGGGACAAGGACAAAGAGGATAAGGGTGGCAAGGACAAGGAGAAGACGCCCACCGAGGAGACCAATCGCAAGTTGCCCATCATCAATCCATTGGTGCGACTGCCCAATTGGCCAAGTAAGGATTATTCTTTAATTGTTTATCTGCCTTAGAGCATTAATATTTTCTTTAAATTGCATACCCTTAAACCAGATTTACCTAAGAACTGTGTACTGATTTATGTTTATTACTTTTTAGACCTTGCAAATGGCGGTGGTTTTATCTCCAAGTGTCTCCTGGCCAATGCAGACACCCTTTGCGCCGCTGTGAGTCCTCTCATGGATCCGGACGAGACCCTTTTGGCTGGCTACCACGAGAAGTGCGTAATGAACAACTACTTTGGCATCGGCATCGACGCCAAGATATCGCTGGACTTCCACAACAAACGGGAGGAGCACCCGGAGAAGTGTCGATCCCGTGCGAGAAACTACATGTGGTACGGAGTACTGGGATCCAAGCAGCTTCTCCAGAAGACCTGCAAGAATCTAGAGCAGCGGGTTCAGCTGGAGTGCGATGGACAGAGGATTCCGCTGCCGGAGCTCCAGGGAATTGTTATCCTGAATATACCAAGCTTCATGGGAGGTACTAACTTCTGGGGCAGCAGCAAGAAGGACGACATATTCCTGCCGCCCAGCTTTGATGACAGGGTCCTCGAAGTGGTCGCCGTCTTTGGATCAGTGCAGATGGCCGCCTCGCGGCTGATCAACCTGCAACACCATCGCATCGCCCAGTGTCAGAGTGTACAGATCAACATTTTGGGCGACGAGGAGATTCCCATCCAGGTGGACGGTGAGGCCTGGCTGCAGCCACCGGGAATGATCCGCATCTTGCACAAGAACCGAGTGCAGATGCTGTGCAGAAATAGGAGTTTGGAGCTCTCGCTGAAGAGCTGGCAGGAGAAGCAGCGCCAGCACAGCATCTCCATCCAAAGGGACGCATCCTCCACTGCTTCGGAGCACGCCATCTCCACCGATGAGGTGATCTCCGAGCGCGAGTGTTACGTGCTGCTCAACTTCATTGAGGCCGTTAGCTCGTTGGTCAAGTGGGTCAAGTTCCTGATCATCTCGCACCCAGCATTGCAACACGATCTCTATGAGGTGGCCTGTCGGGCCAGCGAAGCTCTGGAGTCGATTCACCCGCAGGGAAAGCTGCTCGAAGGTCCTTCGCTCCGCACCAAGTTGGTGGAAGTCATCGACTCCTCTCGCCAGCTGTACGACGACGCCTGCACTTTGCTGCGGGATCGGGGTCACAGTCTGATTCTTCGCGAGGATCTGGAGACGAAACTCAGTGCCGCATTGGCCAACATGGAAATGGAGCTAAAGAAGTGTTCGGTTCAGAAGTGCATCGACGGCAAATTGCGGGCCTACTTCAATGTTTTGGCGCCCAACGAGGAGGTGAGTGAGAATAGATAAAAAATAATGGATTGCATATCCGAAAATTAGTTTTTCCTTATATATAGGTGTTTAATATATATTTCGATTAAGCCTATAAAAGTAATATGATTTAGTCAGAAAGAAAATGAGTCTTCTTGTTAAATTCATTTTAATGTACTATAACTCAAACTATATAATATGTTAAATTGTATTTAGAATTTAACCATGTTGAGGAAGTGTTAATAAATTTCATATATCTTTTGCAGTCCGATGGCCGCCGAAAGTCGAGACCCTTCTGGGTGCGATTGAGGTCCGGTTCCACTGCCGGCCAGCAGGCATTTAAGCCACCTCTGACCAACACCCGGGAGGCGGCCAACAACTGGAGCGTCAACGAGGTGGTCACCTGGCTGGAGACCATGCAGTTGTCGGAGTACGTGGACAGCTTCCTGAAGAACGACATCCGCGGCAAGGAACTGCTCACCCTGGGAAGGCGCGATCTTAAGGACCTCGGAGTGGTCAAGGTGGGCCACGTTAAAAGGATACTGCAGGCCATCAAGGATCTCAGCGAGAACTAGGCTTCCTGTTTGGCTAGTTACCTGTTACCGGCTAGTACAAACAAATCAGTCTTCGAGTCGATGCAGGGGGGAAATAATGAGTTGTAAGCGATCACTGGGGTTACTAAATTATTTTGGGACGAAAACTGCATACAACAATCACTAATTTATAGGCTAGCTTAGCTAACATGTCGAAGAGAAGGGGATCGCGCGAAAGAACAAATAATACTTAGAATGCAATCATTTGATGAGAACGACTATAACACAAAGGATACTCTTTACATTTAGGCCCAACTGACTTACTCTCCGACAAGTTATCTCGATGTATAACATTTGCTAGGCAGGAAATTGTACAATTTTTCAGCTCCCTTGCCCAGTAAAAATCGAGACATGAACGAAAAGCACTAAAATTGATTTTCGTTTTTTCGTATACTTATGTCAAATTGCAAAACACTACAAATTGGCAGTTAAACGAATTTAAACGTAGTGGCACAGGCAAATACTAAACCCGATAACTGCAGTTAGTAATTAAGTGTTTACCCCTCAACTTACGCTTATAATAAAGAAAAACCAGATCCCAATCCCAAAGAATAACTACTGCATCGATTTAGAAATGCAACTAACCGAAATTGATTCTAAATTTATAAGCAATTTAAATTTTACAAAAATTTAACGACTAAAACTGCAGACCCAAACCAATCTAAACATTATATTAATTATACTTATACATGTACCTATAGAAAGATATTTGAAACTATATTTAAATGTTTCCCCCACTATTGTTATATCGAAATGATGCTAACATTATGTTAATGCAAATGCGAGAGCCAATTCTCGCAATTGCAGCAAAGAAAAGTCTGTTAAACGTGTCATTTTTTGGTAACCAAAAGCAACTCTAACTGTTTATTTAAATAAATTTAGTTGTTAAGTCCGTCGCGTTTTTTCAAGATAAGTTTAGGTTAGAACCTTTGGGGTCCTGGTGCCGGATGCTGGGCCCCAGAAGATTAATTTGGTACTATATACAAGCATATGGTAAAATCTTAGCTAGCATTGGAACACGGAATCCGGTGTTCGGAACCTTTTTGGTAATCCTTTTAATTGTTTACATTTAAGCAAACCCAAATGAAAACTAACCACTTTTGTCGAAGCGTTAAAGTGTTAGGAACAAAATTGTGCTAAATTTTTTATAATCGTCAACTTTCGATTCGATCAATTATGTTACTCTCTATCTATCAAACTATAAAAGATATAGATATAGCTGCATATGAGTAGGTTTAGCAGTCCACTGACCTGAAATGACCCTATGTTTTCACCCATTTTCAAATGTTTGCTCAAGTTGCCTCCAATTGAGTGAGTTTTTGAAATGGCACTACGGTAGACCTGTTTAGTCAATAACAAATCACTTGAGCTACGTCTATAAGTTATATTTTTTGATGTATAAGTATAAATGAGCCCAGACCAACTCGATTGATTTGTTGTGAGCCTATCGCACAACTGTTACCTAACAGCACCAGTAGCAGTCCTTTGATTTCTAAATATTTTGACACATATTTGAGAAACTATTTACGCTTATGAATAATCTAAACGAAACATAATTAATTTAAGAAAGTCTATAATTGAAAATCCTTTAACATAAGAGTCAAATCGTTTCAGATTGACCATCTTGTTTTCGAATTCCGATTCCTAAATCTTTTTTTTTTTTTTTTTGTATTCACAACTGGCAATGCCTAATTTAAATTTAAAAATATATTTCTTTGTTTCTTAAAAAGTAAGCAAATTAGTTCTTGAAACAATTTTATTTATATTCTTCACCAGCTAAAGAAACATTTAACATTAAAATAAACTTTAATTTATTATAAAATAATTGTTTAATTAGCTTAGAACGAATCAAGGATTATTTTTTAGTAGGTAACGTTTCTGTAGCTGGTAAAAAACACTACGATATTAATTTCAAAAACAGCATTTTTTATTTTTTTAAGAAATTAAAACCAACATTTTTTAATAAAGAAATTACCAAGACATTTCTTACCGATAAAAACTAAAAAAAACTTTTTCAAATTAAGTAACAAAAAGGGGATTTTGAAACTTATAAAATTCTTTTTAGACTCCAAATTTCTTAATAGCATTAAATTTTTATTTGCGGTTGTAAAACCAAAAAGCTGAAAATTATTTTCAAATTGGAATCCTCGAAAGCTGGTGGTTCATTTAAAAAGATTTTGGCTTATAATGAACAAAAAGATAAATGCAATGTTAAAAAATTGAAGACATTTTTTCAAAAATTTTTCGACACATGTATTTTCGAGAAATCTTTAATGTACGAGTAATTAAAACCAAATTAAACGAAAACACAAAACAATTTAAAATATTTATTATTTATATGTTTAACGAATCAATCTAATCGGCCATTCACATACCCACAGATAAACATTCTTCAGTTTCCCCATATGACACCTCTAATCACCCTTCATTGATCTTATGTTATTTTTCAAAAAACTGTGATAACAGCTTTCTATATTCCTGTAAAAAAATTTACAAAGATCGACAAAATAATATATTACGTAATTCGTGAAGTGCAATGAAAAAAACTGTAAAGTCTTATAAATAGTTCGTCTACAATCAGTAAATAGGTAATGCCTATGAAAACCATTTACCAGCAATAAATGTTTTACAATATATCTAATTAATGTAATTTCGAAACTCCTCCTCCAACCTAGAAAATACCAACAACTGTAAAAACAAACTATTTGTGCAAAACTATTAATCCATAAACAGATAAAACCGTTAAGTGAAAAAGCAAACCATAAACGAACAATATTTCCTATTAAGCATAATACATCAATTATAATAGAAAACATTTTCTTGAAGAAAAACCTAATAACAGCAATAATAAAAGCAAAACAAAAGCAAAACTCCTTGGTTTTATTTCACAAATAATATGTATGAATGATTCCCAAATAGAAACATAGTTTTTAAAACGTTTATATGCATTTTTCTTTTATTCGATTCATACAATGTTATAATCATTTTACCATCACTTGTTTTTTGGTTTCTATTTTATTATTAGTTCAATTTTCCTCTTTCAAATGAGTCTGCCACTTTCTCTTTGTTAAGTTTAATCTTTATAATTATATTATTTCGTGTTATTAGCATTTCTATGAAGGCTATTTGGTGTGCCTTTTTTATGACAATTCAGAAAAAATTATCAATTGGGGTTTGTCGTTATTGGTTTATTGCTTTGTTGCATTTCTTGGGAGGCTTTCTTTAATTCATTAAAATTTTAGGCGCATTTCGGCGTGAAAGTCAATTTCTAAAATTTCTTTAATTGATTGGTGTTTTTTAATTCTTGCTTTGTGAACGAACCGAAAATGGAATAAATTTATTGTTTTGACTTTCATATAAGTGTTTATAAAAATCGATTCTTCATTAACTGTTTTTGAAGAAAAAGCCTTGTAGTGCGCCTATTTTGGAATCATTTTTGGGGTATAATTTGTATAGGATTTCCTTTTCTCTCTTTTTAATCATTTTATATCCTTTTGTAAACAAGCTAGAATATATATCAAGTTCGTTCTTAAGTAGATTCATATTAAAGTTTCCTAAAATTTGTTAAGTACGATATTTAAAACTAAATGAGTTCAAGAGTCTACCATTCGGTTGTGTTTTTTATTATCAAACTGTAACTGGAAATATAGTTCTGTTTGCGTATGTGAGTGTGCATCCCCTGTTTGTTTCGTTAAATTATTTTATTCGGGATTTTGAAGATTGCCAGAGATAAGTTAGTTAAACTTATTATTTATTTCTAACTAATGCATTTGACTGAATCGAAATGGTGTCATACAGTTTAGACTGAGCGCAATAAACAATTTTTGTTCTTTGGGGCACTTAATATGCAAAATGCTTGGTAACTATTTATAAGATGTTATCAACTCATGGATTTCAACTAACAAACGGGTCATTCATGAAAAACATATAAAAATACTCAACTGTTTAATAAATACCATTAAAGTGTTGTTATTTTTTTTGTTTTTTCTTAGATTTTTTTCTTTTGTTTGTTTCTGTTTTATATTAAAATATATATAGGCAAGCAACAATTAAGCTCAATACTGAAGTTAATCACACAACATGTGGGTAATGAAATTTTAACTTCGTCTTACACGATTCTCTGAATATTTTTCCTGCATTTTCTTTGAGAGGTTCAACATTTAAGCTTTTCACCTAGTCAAAAGAAAAGACTCTGCCAAACTCAGTTTTAATTGGTATTTAGTTTGTACTAAAACACTACCTGCACTGAAAAATATGAAAAACAAAACACAACAAAATGCTCGTTTAAATTACATTAACTTTCTCAAAGCTATTGCCCTTCAGGAAGCATTTGTTTTAATCATTTCAGCGCTAAATTTACTCAAATCAAAGTTCAATCGAATAGGCCTTCTCCATTTTGTTTTATTTTTGCTTGTGAACTATTTTCACATACGCGTAATAGTTATGTAAGAAACGTAGGCATTTCTGAAACTAGGCTCACAGCTTTTCAAAGCATAATGTAATTTTTTTCGCTTCTTCGTGTAGTTTTAGTATGTTTAGCTTGTGTTTTCCGTTTTTTGTTTTCTGTTTAGTGTTGCTTTGATTTAATCATCATTTGCCTTAAGTTCGTATTAGCCAAAATGTATCTTAAATTATTCCTAACATCATGTTGTCGTATTTGTTTTTTTACCTTTTGTAATTCATGTGCAAAATCTATTATCAACTTTCTTTGTTTTGTGGATCAGCGGTTTAGCTTAGATCACCTTTATGCATTACCCATATATACGGCTTGTTTGCTCAACTAATGAAAGTTACAAAAACGTGAGTATATCTCTTTTCGAATGGCCTCACTTTTTGGACGGGTCTTTGCGGTGATGTTTGTCCCATTAAAATATTTTGTTTTTGGTTGAATGATTTTTAAGTATTGCAAAGTTCTCTTGGTTAATTGCAAAGTATACAACGTTTGTTTGATTACTTCTTTGTTTGGGTAGAGGCAGTGAAAGTGTCTTACATAAACAAATTCTTGGTGTAATGCTCGTGTCGTTAGATGACATTTGGCCTGATTAGATTTGCTTGCAGCAGTTTAACTTGGAAACCAAAAGCGAATTTAACTTTAGATTCAAGCCAAGTCGAAACGGAGTTTCCTTATACCTAGATTTCATTACGATATAGGTTTCCATAACCTTGCCTTTAATATTTAAAAAAAGAAATACATTTTTCATAATATTTGAAATTAATTAAATGGTATTTTTGGCAAACAATCATGTAATTGAAATAAAGAATACATAATTAAGTGATTGATTTATTTAAACAAAAATATATATAAGTCCTTACATTTAACTAAAAATTAAATAAAGTTTAAATCCTGGACATACATAATATTGCAATATTTTATAATCAATATAACTTAAGTTTCAATGGAAAACTATATCGCCCTGAAATCCGGTTCTTAAATAGGATGGTGTATAGTTTAGGTATTGCATAACGTCTATTACGTATCATAATTGCTTGCTGTCAAGGACCAACTAACTGCCTTGAGGAATACATTTTGCACTTGAAAAGCACTGAGTACCTGATCTAGAGTCTAGAGCCTAGAGGCTAGAGTGTAGAGTCTAGAGTGTAGAGTCTAGAGTGTAGGACCTAGGTCTAGGATCTAGACGCTCTCCTCCTTGCTGGCGCTGCTGCCCCAGAAGCGATCGAATCGGTCGCGGGCCTTCTCCAGGACCTCGGCGGCGGTTGTCCGGGCGGTGGAGGCCGTGCCGGTCGACGAGGAGGACGACATCGCAGGATCCGGCTGCTGCGAGGGATGATCCTGTGAGGGAGTGCATCGCACCGCCCCGCCCGGCTGGCCGGTGGGCGTGGCATGGGGCGTCAGCGTTTTGCCGTAGATCGCGGCACTGGTGGTCGGACTGCAGGACTTCCAGGCTGCTGGCAGGATGGCAGTGGTCGAGAAGGGGTGAAGGGGAGGGGGAGATAGTTTTGGAAATAGTGTTCGTTATGTTACGCAAGGATCTACGGTTTCGGGTACGCTATGTGATTGCATTGGCTTGCATTTTAGCAATTTGCATTTGGCTTGATTGACAGAGAGGGGAACTTTGCTTTATATTTACGCTTATCGAGATTGGCTTGATTTGCTTGATTTGGTGTGGTTTTTGGTTTTTTGGTTTTGGTTTTGGTTTTTCGATTTGAAGAAGTTGGAGTTGAAGTTGAAGTTTGGCTAACGATGATTCGATTTTTCGATTTTTGATGATGTTTGTGAGTAGCGATACATACATATACATATACAGATACATATATTTAAATACGAGTTAATATATAAATATTTGTAAAAGCGATTTGACTTTTTTTTTTTTGGTTGTTTTCTTTTCTTTTCTTTTGTTTGGTTGGTTGACTTCGTTTGGTTTGCTGATGCTTTTGGTATGGAAGTTTTGCGTTTTTTATTGAAGCGTGCTTAATGGCTTACCGTCCATTTTAGCCTGTTCGGTTAGTTGTGGCGGTGCCGATTGTGGCGGCGGTGGGGGCTTCTCCACCGGTGTCGACGCTTTAATCTCGCTCTGAGGTCGGCTGTAGCTCTCCCCTGCGGAAAAAAGGCAATCAATTAGCAGAGAACTATTTGATTTACGACAGTTTTCACTTTGCAGAAAGAAGTAGATAATCAAGGCTAATAAATTCTTGCTCTTGAGGGTAACCTTAGTATTTAAACTGAAAAGTGTTAAAGAACTGCAGTTTTCAATGTCCGAATACAGTTTACCCTGAAGAGAAGTAAAGATTTGAGGGCTCGTGTTTATATTTATTTCCATGATTTTCAACATTTCTGCAATGTGTGTTACCTTCTTTACAATACTTTACCATCTTTGACATTCTGCGTGACCGTGAAGGTTTTGCCAGTGTCTAGGGGCACCGTCCAGTTGACTGGATCGGGTGAGCGCATTATGATCTGCTCCGGCGACTTGACCCGGGTCGGTTCTGGCGGAGACTTCACCAGGGGCTCCTCGGGCACTTCCGGCACTGGAGGCTGGGGGCTGCAGCTGGAAATGGAAATGGCAGTCTCACGACCATCCTCGCCTTCGTCTGTTGGTGGGGAAAACATCCAAGAACAATTGTAAATTGCAATTCGTTTTAGTTTCGAGGATTATGCGTTATGGAATCGACTTGATTATAGGCGCATTTTATGTTTGAGTTATTTCATTATTCTGCCGCAGCTGCTGATCTTCATATAAATTTGTTTGCAGGATTTTTTTCTTTTTTCGTTAAGCAAATTTTGTGTTTGAGTTTTACTGGTTAGTAGTTGTAACATAAAATCGAACTGAACAATAGTATTTGTAACTTAGTTTGGTAACCAAAAACTGAAAAAGAACTGAGTCAACATAAGCATATTAAGCCAGAAGCTTAAAAGGCAACAAATTGTTAGTAGAACCAAATTAATTTCTTTTCATACTTTTCTTAGATTTTATAAAGCGCACAACATGAGAAACAGCATGCCACAAATACACAAACAGACACGCAACACGATTATGCGAAGGGGAATAATAAAACTAATAATACTTTTTATTATATAGTAAATTGGTATTGCTGTTTAGAATTCTGGTGTTTGTGATTTTCTGGTAGAGTTTTGATCGGTGAATATCTTAGGCAGGCAACAACGAAGGCGTCGACGACAGCTGGCAAGATTAGTAAGTTGAATCCTGGCACTTGAGAACGATTAAAAAAGTAACAACAACTACATATACTTGTTTTAAAAGTGGAAAAAGTTCAAAACCTATTTAAATAGAATATACCTATCTATAAATAGAAAAGTGTTTGTTTAAATACTGTTTTTTTTTGTTATTTCTCATTAATTTGTTATGTAACCCCTAAATATTATTTTCCTCAAAAACTAATCCGCACTTTTCTATTCTTTGTGTAAGTGTAGATGTGTTAGTATCCTACTGTAGATTTCGTTTAGTATTAAAAAAATGTATCTAAGATGAAATAGGATTAAAGTTCTACAAACTTTAAATATGTACAGAAACATAAAATAAAGTCTACTTAGGACATTCAAAAAAGTGATTTGGAGTTATGAAACATAACGAAAATCTACAAATAATGAATAGGTACATGAAAAGGGTATTCGATTACAATTGCTTATACAGATACATGAAAATGGACACACTGCTGGTATACAACAAGTACATACATTGATTACAACAACAACTAACATTTAATAACAACGCATTTTGCTCTTTGGGTGTACCCACAATTTTTTAGCAATTAAGAATTTTGAAAATCCGTTGACTTCGGTGAATTTCGGTGATTTTTTTTTGATAATTTTTAGATTTTGCCGGTGGAACAACGTAAATTTCAATACAAATCAAACTACAATTTTGTACAATTTCTAAGACCAATATAATTAATACACGCAATTCCACATGGCTCCGTCAAAATAAAAAACACAGAGAGTTTTATTCAATCGATGATGCCAATTGGTAAATCATAAGCTCAATCACTTTTCACTAATTGTGGACGAACAATCTTGACCAAGGTGTAAAATGCTCAATTATTAATAGCGGTTTAAGAGTTCTTTTTTGAAAGTTTTGGGGTTTACAAAAGTTGCAACACAAACATTTCGCGCATCAGATGTCATTTTACAGCATTTTTTTCGTGTATTTTACTTTTTTTTAATGGGTTTTATTTTTTGTTTAGTTTGGGTTTATTGAAGAGATTGTTTTTTTTTTGTTCAAGTTTTCGGTAAAACTTTACTCACTTTCAGCCAATTTTCTATCCTGACCTGGTACCGTGAGCCGTTTGATGTTGATGGTTGCAGGCCGGGTTGGGTTTTGAGCCGATGTTGCTGCTGCTAATGTTGCTGCTGCAACATCGTGATGCTGTTGCTGTTGCTGTAGCTGTTGCGGTTGCTGTTGTTGTTGTTGCTTTTGCTGTTGCAGTTGCTGTTGCTTTTGCTGTTGTTGTAGTTGTTGTTGCTTTTGCTTATTCTGCAGATGCTTGACACTATTTGCTTGACTACCGCTACCAGCACCAACATGACTACTACTGCCAATGCAACTACTATTCGATCTATCTTTGTCTTTCTTACGCATTTGCTGTTGCTGCTGCTGCTGTTGCTGCTGCTGTTGTTGCAGTTGCTGCTGTTGCTGCTGTGTAGCGGATGTTGCCGATGGTTTTTGAATTTTGCCGCTGCCGCTCTTGGCTTGTGATGATTGTGATTGATTAGCATGGGGCTGATTAGCGATTAATGCTGATTTAGCTGCTGATGTTGCTGCGGTTGCCGGTCGGGTTGTTGCAGTTGCAGCTGCTGCTGCTGCTGGCGGCGCTGAGGCTACTCTACCGTTGGGCGGTGGCAGGGAACTACTTTTAATGCGGGATTGGAATGTTGTGGATAGGGTGGCTATAAGAACGTAAGCAGTTTTCGGTTTTGTTTGTTTTACGATGATTTTTTTGTCGTTTTTTTTTTTTATGTTCGTTTTTGATTTTTTACATTTTTTTACCGAAAACAAAACGCACGTGAAAAAATTATTAAATGTATTTTCATTAAAAATGTTTTATTTGGTTTGTGACAATGCAATCAAAGCAAAAGCTTAAAAAGTCCCAACGTAAAAGTTCGAAAAAAATAAAGAGCTTAATAAATAATATATGAAATGCTATTAGTGGCGTTCCAACTTTCATTTGGTTAGTTTGGTTAACAATTTCAAGGAGTTAGTCTACTTAAATCAATCTAATGGTACCGATATTTCGCAGCTATTGAAAGGAGAACACAATGTTGGCTTTATGACCCTGCATTTAGGAATATAACTTACAGGAAAATGGGTTGTTTTTAGTTTGTTAGCTTTGCCTCATTAAGTTATATTTAAAACATATTGTACAGTTATTGGGATTAAGCCAACAGAGTTACACTTAAAGTTAGTAGGAGGATAACGGAATACAAATTAAAACTCGAACGGATTAGACACAACACTGAACTGGAATTGTTAGTATTACTTTTACTTACTTACAGATAAGTTTAATTGGTTTATTGTTTTAGTTGGGTTGTTAATTTGTTATTGAATTTTGTTAGTAACGGTTCACTCAACATGCTTAACTATAGATTGTTATGTACTCGAAAGACCAATCAAACGCTGCATTACAAGAGAACAGTGATCGAAACTCAGGTGGTTAATAAATGAGAGAAAGAAACAATAAACTGCATGACCAGAGACTAAACTAAACTAAACTAACAAATATTCGAAACCCAAAAGTTGTTTGTTATCTAACTATGTTTATTACGGGTTTTATTAGACACTCAACTAAATGGCCGTTCGAAATACGTTTTGGATTTGGAAGAACGAACATACTTGAGGTGTGATTGGAAATCTAACGAAACTAGGAACGAATTCGGCAAATAAAACCAAATTAAGGCAACGAAAAAATAGATCGGAACGCAATCTAATTAACACATGACATATGCAAACTAGGACTAAATAAATAAGGCAATGAACGCATCGCATCGTTCGTTCCATAAACTGAACAGAAGAGTCGAGTTTTAAGAGGGTTGTGGCTGGGGGATTTGCGGTTTTGCCTCCTCCAAAATGGCTACTTACATGGGCGTGCCTTGCGCTCGCTTCCGCTTCCGGTTGTCGGCGTCTTTTTACGGCTGCTGGGCGCCTGACTCGCCGACCGGATCTGCCGCTTCGGTGACTCATTCTCGGCAACGCCCGGACCCGCGGATTGCGACCGGGCTGCTCAGCACGCACATGGACACAGATACGGATGAGGATGGTTCGATTCGGTTCGGTTCGGTTCGGTTTCGGTTTCAGTTTTCGATATTTGGTTTTTGCATTGCGATTGTATCGTTATTTTTTTCGATTTGGTTGTATGGTTTGTTGGTGGTGGTGGCGGTTTGATTGATGATAAGAGTACGATTTTTATGTTTTAATTTATTTTCGCATTTGGCTGGAGAATTTCATGGGCGAACGCCCTTACTACGGGTGAATTTTGTGTGGGTGTTTCAGGTGAACTATTGTACAAAATTTGGTGGTAATGCGCTACAAAAAAATCCTCCTGCAATATTTTCCTAAACACAAAAAAAAATTCTCCTCTATAATGGAACTTCGAACAGGTTTCACTTTTTATGGCTCTTGCGTAGACTAGGACAACTTTTAAAATTCAGATCGTTGCCAGCAAAACATTTTCTACTCAAAAAAATTAAATTAAAGGCTTCCCCTAAAACCCTATTTAATAAAATTTCTCTTTAACATTTGTTCTTTTTAAGCTTAAACTTATTGAATACGAAACAGACTAAAAAAAAAATTTCTGTATCTTCTGAATAGCCTTAATATAATTTTCATTTAGGTTGTTTCATACAGCAACACTGTAAACCCAAAATTAAAGCAACGTAAACCTTTTAGAGCTTTCACAGAGCAATATACAGCAGCATTTTATATTTATTTACAGTCTAGCTAACACGTATTCCCTAAAACATCAAAATGAGAGAAATAAGCAATATGAATGCATGATTATGAAGGATTACCCTGTTTATTGTTCACCCCAAATATATAACCTTAGCTTAAAGTTACTTATGAGAGTCTAAAATACTTAGTAAAAAATATCTGCAACACAGCTTTCTACAAGTATTAAAGGTTAAAAAGGAAATGTAACTTCCAACCAAGTTGAAAACACAAATCCGCGAGAAAATGGGCAAATGTATGTAACAAGAAACTACATTAAGATTGTGCACAAATCTCATAGCCCAACGAGTCTTCGGTGCACTTGACGGGGATGAAAATCGAGCCAACTCCCTTGACTCTCGGGGGGTAAAAAAAAATGGCAAATCAAACGGTTGAAGCAGTTGAGCAAACCATGGAAAAACGGAAATCATAGGAAACCAAATCAAGTCATTGATAACGGGGCGTATACTTATTGTTGGAGCGTGTACAATTGTTCTGTTCTGTTCCCGAACTTGTAACTAAATTGGTTAGTGCATTTTGTGTACTTGTGTCATTGTTGCTTAGGAGTAAATTGGCTAATCGTATATGGTTAACTTTAGAATTCAAATCGAAGTATATGCAATCTTTCTGTGTATAAATTCTGCTCGGAGATGGAAGAAAAGCGGTGCACTACTCACTTTTGAGGACCTTCTTGGGGCTGCCCTTTTGGGGACTGCCCTTCTGAGGCGATCCGTGCCTGGACAAGGCGGTCTTCTTGGGACTTCCCCGCTGAGACTCCGATTCCCGCTTGGTTATGGCCGGCATCAGTTTCTCGCGCGTCGGCGAGGGCAACAAAGCTCCCTCCTCAACGTCTACGAGAGCCAAAAACTAAAGTGTTATCCTTTGCCACTTAACTCTTATATCAGATACTCACCCGGACCCGTGGTGCGTTCAAGGTGATGACGTATATTGCTAAAGCGTGCTGGCAGTGCTGAAATCTCATCCTTATTATCAATCAAGAAGGCTTGGCCAGGAACACGTGGCTTCTTCTCCTTCTGCAATGGCGTGGATTTCTTATTGTTCTCTTGTTCCTTCTCCTCCTTGGTAATGGGTCTGACAATAAACGAGAAAAGTGATTGTTACTATTTATTTTAAGATACTTTTATACAATATTAAATAAGCAAGCAAGGAATTTATTTTCGACAAGCCGAATGTTCTATAGTATTACAGTTAGATCAAATATGAATTAGTTGACTGTTAAAATGTAATGACAGTAAAATTGGTTCTGGGGAAGTTTTTATTAATTATTACTCCTATTTATTTATTAAATTTGTATTTTAACTGTTTGAACAAAAATCAAAAAGAATAGTCTATTTATTAACAAATTGTTCCCCCATAAATTAATTTAAAATGTTTTAAGATAATATTACCTATGCACAGACGAAGCTAGGGAAAGTGCTGAAAGTGAGCTGCGCTTTGAAACCTGATCCCACAGATCCTTCTGTTTCTTGTATAACTCCGGATCGATTTCTATGCCCCAGCCGCGACACTAAAATATAAAAGTTTTTAAATTACGATCTGGTTGCATTAATATTAAAAACAATGGATATTAAACAACAAAAAAATAAATGGCTTTGTTTCAATTGGGAAACTATGTTAACTAAAAAAGAAAATTTAAGTAACTATAGCATCGATAATAAATTAAATATACAGAAAAACAATAAGTTGCTTAACCGGATATATAAATAGCTGTTAACATAAATTGAAATCAGCTGTTAATTAAAATCAATAGTGCTATTTGCCACCAACAAACTGAGGACCCACCTTATATTCGCCGGCCTTTTTGCGCAGCTCGACCATCTCCTTGAACCAGAGATCCAAATTCGGTTTAGAGTGCGGCGGGGCAGAGCCGTTCATGACCACCACCTGGCCGGATTCGGCGGCCTGCTGCCGGTTGTCCACCTCGTCCTTGAGGACGGCGGCTGCCACCGCGGCATCGGCGAAGCCGAAGTTCTCCTTTTTCGTGATGAAGTGGTTCAGGCGCTCCTGGTCGATGGCCTGCGAGAAGGGACGCGAGGTGGTCTTGCGCTCCACAATGGTCACTTGTCTGCAAGAATCGGGGGAATCATTAGCTTAAGGAAGTATTGTTGGCTTCTGAGAGAATGGTTTCAAAGGGGGAACTGCTGTGCGTCTCGATGGCTGCAGCATGCAACACTTGCAACATGCAGGTGCGGATGAATGTGGGTCGGATATCTATTTGTTATTGGGTGATGCTGCACTTTCAGGTGGGCTAATGAAGGACTTCACTGAATGAGAATGATAGCAGAAGCTATGAGCAAATCGGTGAGAGGGCTTAGTTAATCAAATGTTCATACTTCTCGTGCGTTTTTCTATCATCCGTATCGCTAACCAAGGGCTCCAACTCATGTAGAGTAGCTGAAAGCACACAGATACGAAATTTAATGCTGCAATTCAAGTCGATCGATAGCTTTATACAGATTCTGGCTGATGTCTGGGCATCAGTGGGTACATTAGGTAATAGGAAAGTATAATTTAATTGGAGAAAATGCAGTAGGAAACTAAAGGCCAAAAAGGTGGAAACAAAGGTTAGGTTTGCTTTTGCAAAGTGTCTCGATTACGCTAAATTTTCAACTCAGGGTTAAGGAAAAGGTGATTTCATATTATTGTACAGCAAATTAATGAGCCGGAAGCAGCGCCTTGGTGGGTGGTTTGTGGTTGGTGGTGGGTGGTGGTTAGTGGTCGGTGGGTGGGTGGATTTGTGGGCGTGGTTGAGTGGTTAGTCTGTGGGTGGTCTGCTTTTACTCAGGTGAGGCAAATGCTAAACGTAAACTTCAAATGAAAATCAATTTGTGTTTGTGGCATTGAGTTCAGAACCGAAAACTATGTTGAATTTGAATGCTTTGGTTGAAGCGTGTTTGGTATGGTTTCCTGGTAGTTTCTGGGGATATGTTTCAACAATTTTGGGTAACTTTTTTGTTTGGAATATAGAACGAAATTCAAACCAATTATTGTATTCTTTTCTTATATAAAATATGTGTTCACAATTCGAGTTGAATGCAGCGTTGGATAATTCATATTATTTTGGTTGTTCGATTTTTGTTTGTAACTTTTTGTTAGCACTACGTCCAATTTGTACACTATTGAAGCTCTTCGCTGGAAGCTCAAGGCGTCGCACAAGGGTTAAAGGCAAGACAAAAGCGTTTAGCAATTGAAGCCACTAATTGCCACTGAGATGCAGATGCACTTAAAGATTTAGCTTATATGTATATAGAGGGGATAAATTTAACTTTATGCTATTTGATTGTCGATATCTTTTAGTTCCGTCTCCGTTTTCCTTACCTATGCGCTTTGCTTGAACTGTAAATTTAGTTAGTAATTAAGGGATTTGTTTCCATATCGACTGCCCATAGCCTGAACTAACCCCACACTAAGTTCGCCAATTGACCTAGCCGATGATATGTGGGCGAGATATATAGAGTTGATGCCGTGTTGACTGATTGATAAATGGTTGTCTGGTTTAATGAATGACACTATAGTAATTTCGATTGGTTTGTCGTTTCACACATGCAACGAAACTAAGGCAACGTATGCAGTAACTCCTACGCTTCGATCGAAATGAAAACAGAATTTATCACACAACCTGCGGCCACAACATGCTCATACTACACTTGGCTATTTTCAATTCATCAATTCGTCACGTAAAATTGCATTGACACACGTGTCGGTGTCGGTGGTTTATGTTTCTCGGATGAGCACATCGGGGGTTTAATCCCATCAATTTTTAAGTGATCAAGGCAATTTTACGCTCGGCGGTAAAAACAAGTTGTATTTGTTTAGCACTAATAAACATTAAATTTAGTTCAACACTTACGTCAGCTTTTGGCTAAAAAGATATTCTTGATTGTGTTCAACCTTTTTAGTTTGGGGTTTTAGTTTGGTTTTTGGAAAGGAATTTAGCATAATTTCGTTCTATATGAAATAGATTTTAAAGACAGTAATAGTTTGCTAACTGCTTGAAATGAAAATAATCATTAGTTTACAAAAGCGTTCAACGAAACAGTGGCTTGTACGTACAGAACGAAAGGAAAAATTATACGAAAAAAGGTCGAGATAATTATTCTAGGAAAAGATCTATCTTAGTTCTGAGCACTGTAGTATACATATTTATAGGTACGAGTACGAGTATAAAGGTAAGCGAAAAGTTACGACGACGTGTACATAAAAAACTTGATTTGGAATTCAATCGATTGCTTTTGGTGGCAAAATAGCATTTTTAATATGGCAGCGGTGGGAGGAGAGAAAATCGTTTAAACTACGTTCATTTACCAACACAATTCAACGCTTTTGTATTAATTTTGGTTAGGTTTTGCTTTTTTTTTATAGCTCAATGCTGCTGCCACGGCACAAATTTTCATTTAAAAATCTTGAAAAATAAACAAATCTCAACAGTAACGAAGGTTAGTAAACAAAATGTTACGCAATCTGCCGTGAATTAGTTTGTTAGGTTGGTTAAGTAAAGAAACGGTTAATTAAAAATCTAAATCAAACGTTAACTCATTAAAGTACGCTCGCTCTTTTGGACTTGTAAATTAGTTTTAGTATTACATATATAGTAGTTGAAAGAAACTACGCGCTAGTAGGAGATTTTTTCGTTTGTTTCATATATATTAATTTGTTTGTTTTTTTTTTTTTTTGGTTGTTAAGTATGTTAAATAAATGCTTAGCGACGACAATTTGTTGTCGCACCTTCTTTCTGATTTGTTGTTCGTTTTTTATGCACCGTAGGCAGGCCGGCCCCGCCACCCATCATCGTGTGATGTGCGTGACCATTCTGGGTTTGGGTCAGACTCTGATTCTGATTCTGGTTTTGGGTGTGACTGTGACTTTGGCCGCCGGACCGAAGGGCGCCCAGCGATATGGACTTTCTCGGATAATCGCCGGCGGCGGCCCTAGACGTCGCCTCGCCGCCGCCCTTAATCCGTCGGACAGTGGGCCAAACGAATTGCAGGCGGTACTCAGTGCTCAATTTACTGATGGTCTTTTTCAATAGCCCATTTGACTCACCCGCCTGCGAAAGATAAGAGCAGAATCACAAAACAAAAAAGGGTTTTTTTTCCAGGGTTCGGGTTAGGGTTTCATACAAAAGAGAATAATAACGAGAAGGAGAAAAGAAAGAGAACGAGAACGAGAACGAGAAAAAGAGAGCATTGCAATGTCGCATTGAGTGTAAGGATAAGTTTAAATTTTAGATATTAATCGTTATTTAGTTTAGTATGGTTTTCATATTTGTTCGGGTTTATGGGGACGATCAGAGCACAGTTAACATAGAGAAGAAGAGACCGGTTAGTCATAGGTGGAGAAACAGAGAACGAGAAAGAGAAGAAATACACACAATACAAGTATAAATTGTAAATTTTGAACATCTATTACTAATTTCTTGAGTGTGGTAAATCAAAACCCAAAACATATACAAATACATTATAAGGTTTTTAAAATCAAATAATTTAAATATCTGGGACTAAAACAGACGCAAGGTCAAAGTTATCGAAAATAACTTCTCTTCTATATTATATATATTAATAGTTGAATCGGTTTTAGTCCCTTTTTAAAACATTTTCAAATTCCCATATTTTTATATTGATACTATTAATATAATAATAATGATTTACTAGCTGAGAAAAACAATTTAATGCTTTTATAAATAAAGTTTCAATAACTTTAAAAGCATAGTATTATATGTAAAGGAAAACTACAGTAATAAGTGCCCCGTAATGTATGCTATAGAACCATAAAAACCATCAAACATACTTAGAAACAAATAATAACTCAAATATAATCTACCTTGGTCTACGTTTTTTGCATTCAATTCCACATTTCATTCACCCACACCGAGAATAGAAGAAGGCAAAGAAAAACTGGCATAAAACCCTTGTTACATGCATTGCAAATCACAGACACAATGGCCACAATCAGAACGGCAAAAGTTATACTAAGTATTGAATGTATCAGGGATATAACAAGCGTATGAATGGGCGAAAAAAATCGATATACAACTTATGCAAATGTTGGAGGGTTTTGCAGATTAAAATTTTACATTCAGGTCGAGTAGCCGCCCGACTAACTGACATTCGGTCTGACAACTCAATGGTGCTCCAGCGCACTCACTGCGAAATGTACAGACACATGCAATCATGCTCATGTGAGTAAATGAAATTTTCCCATAGCCGCAAACGGCGAGACGAGCTACAAATGTTCAACAACATGTCCTGCACGGGGAAAATTGCCAATAAAAGGACCAGAAAAGTTGCAGACAGTGCGGCACGGGTTGTGTCAATGCCGAGGGTTTTGGGTGTTGGGGGGAATTCGAGGGAAAATTCAGAGGGACTGACTGATAGACAGCATCAACGCTAATGGAAATTGTTGCGCGCTTCCAAGTTCCGGTCCAGTGGTCCGAGGCGCGTTCTATCTCAGATCGGAAATAAGAGACAGGTTCTATCTCCCTGGTGATTGTTCTCAGCTTTATGTGGCATCACGAAGGCACAAAATCGGAATACTAAATAATGTCAATACTGTGGTCCATGATTTTGCATAAAAAAAGTTAAAGCCTTCATAAGAACAGATGAAAAAACTACTTGAATTTATTTACCTAAAGTGCAAATTTAATTTTCAATAATTTCCTAATTACATTATTCTTTTCGAGTTTCTTTGTTCTCTAATGTGGTTTCTAAATGCACAAATGTTATCTGCAATGCAGAAATGATTAACCTTCAACTAAATTTGGCATGCTGGGAACTAAACTCGCAAACACACATACACTCAAACAGACACCAACACACTGGAAACTGTAGTGCACACACAAGTATTGATTAGGCACTAGACGACTATTGAATTTGACACCCGAGAGAGCGAAATGCAGAAATCAATCTGACAATTGTGTACCTGTTTTCTTGTGGTTCCGTCGATCTCCGTTGCAATGGGATACGCACGTCCATTGGGCACGACGGGTGGTCCCTCCGATTTGCTGCGGCGCGAAGGCGTTCCCCGCTCCTCCGACTACAGAGAGACAGAGACAGAGATAGGGAGACATTAAGGGTATGCGAACATGTATAGTTAATTAGCTGGTCATTAATATTACGCATACGCCTTGTTGACGTGCGTCATCAGGTGAAGTCAATTAATTATGTATTGTCAGGGTGCCTGCGATAGTATGTCAAAAGCACACATTCTCTGGCACACCGGTATTCGGGTCAGAGGCGTGCGAAGGGTTTTAAACAGGGGTACTCAAATTAATTCCTAAAAACTAGGAGCTATATTCGTATACAGTTAGGAATATCCACTTTTAGTTTTAGCATTTAATTAAAAATAATTACGAAATAAAGAATATACAAAAATAAATTTTAAAATGCATTTCCTCCAGAATATTAGCAATTGAATGTTGTACTCTTAAGTGGCCATTTTACCAATTTGTTTTCATGGTTTTTTATTAATTAAGTGTCAATGTATATGAACAGATGTAACCTGAAAAACCTCGCACCTGCGTACGCCTCTGATTTCGCACACGTATCTCAATGTCCTTGCAACATGTGCCGCTGTGTGCCTTACTATTAATTAGCCTAGCGTTGAAGAGAAGCAGCGGAAAATGAACTAGGAAAGGACCAACCTCATATGGAAGCTTTTGCGAACGGCTTTTGTGTATTTCCTGTGAATTGTGAGAGCGTCGACATTTTTATGAGGGCCGCGGCTTAAACGCATTAACCCTAATGCCAAACCTCCCGTAAAGGCAGTGGCTTTCATAAGACCTTTGAATATGGTTACGAAAATATACTTGCAAATGAAAATGTGGTCAAATATTTAAACTTTCAAAAAACAAACAAAAATTGAGTACCTTCTAGCGTACAATTAAATAATTAGCTTAAATCTTCTTTTTAGTTCTCAATAAGGAACCGCCAACTTCATGAAAAAACGTGGCACGATAATTACAAAAATTAAAGGGCATACAAAAAATATGTTTTTATTCCTTTTTAGAATGCAAGAACGAATTTCCACTGCTCTCAGGGTCCTCTTCAAATGTCAAAAGCGCATAAAGTTTGCGTGGTCATAAACTGAAAATACTATTAGACGTGGAAAGCCGGCTGGATCTTTACAATTTTTCATTTCATACATGAACACGTAGATATGCACAATAACTTGCCATTTTTACGAGTGAAAATCCTTTCATTTGCTACCTTTTTATTCATATATGCACATGGGGTTAGATAAAAACGTGATTGCATTACAAAAATTTAAAGTTGGCCTGAGTCACACAACAAAGTACAATTATGACTAATAACGTCATAAAAGATGAAAACATGTAAGAATATTTTCTAGCTGTTTGTCTTTATAATTTGCATTTCTGTTTATTTTAGTTTATGTTGTTCCAACATTGAACAAAAAGTTTCTTACATTAAAATAAAGACACTTAATCATTGAATTTTTTATACCTTTAATGGAAATAGTTTAGAAAAATTAAGCTTAATACATTTTAAAACCAAAAATTGAACCTATCAACTTCTAAATATGTACTTTAAAAATCGTATGTTCTCATATTCTGTAAAAACTGTTTGTCAAATGAAGAAATTTTCGTTCATTTCAGCGCTCATGAAAGCGTCTGTCCAGTATTATCGCACAATTCATATTTTCAATATATCTGTTCACCTTTTGAAAACTCAAGGACATGTAGATGGCGGGGAAAACAGATGGGGAAAGGATACAAGAATGTCACTTACTCTCGCCAAACGATGTGCACTGGCATCTCGGCGTGCATCTGTATATTCAGATCCTATAATAAACTCGTGCGATTTATATGCTAATTCTGGACATTTTTTCCGTCGCGGCAGTGGCGGCTCATTTGTCGGTCCTGCGGATGCGGAATCCAATCAAAAATCGTCGAATCAGAACGAGATCAATAAATATGTCCGTGACAATAGGGCGCAAGACAAACGTCCTCGCAACTCACCAACAAATTGACTTGGATTCGGGGCTGGCGCCCGTCGCACAACCTCTGGTCGCGAATTGCCCGTAAATTCATGCCAACGATAAGTGCTCCGATACTCCGAGTGGAGCTGCTGGAATAGAAAAGACCAAGGCGTTAATTCTGGGCTCAGATGCACCGAACAAAATAGAGTAATATTGTAAGATTGAAAAATACATTGTTGGACAACAAAACTTTGTCTGCTACAACTAAGTTTTGTTTGCAAAAAAAAGAACCAATAAGAATAATAAAAAACTTTCTTTCAGAAAAAACAAAAGCTTTAAAAATCTCGGATACCAGTTTATTTATCTAAAATGCTTTAAGATGTTAACAATGACTGTTTTTCATACATCTATAAAAATGGTAAATTAACTGTCAAATTAATATCAAAACAAATGAATAAGAAAATATTTAAAATATATTTTTTTATTTTTTCGAGCGTGTTTCCCTTTTAAAATAGACAATGGGCGCAATTCAACATGGGTAATTATTACAGCCAAACGCATGTCAAATACCACAATGAGACCAACCGAAAGCTAACCACTTCCACATATGGCCACATGTAAGTATTTTCATTTGCCAGGGCCAGACTTTCGGCTCAGGGCTATCGGCCAATTGGCCAGTTAGTCAAATAGTTTCGTTCCGGGCTCTCGGCCAAATTGCGGTTTGTCGCATTTCAATGCGGCATTACGTCCACCCACTTTCTCCATTACAACTGCAGCCATTTGATAATTGCGACAATGGCCAGAGAAAAATCCATATTAACGGCCTCTTTTATACTGCAACAGTTACTCTTGCTGCCACTTTTGCAGTGACTATTTGTGTTATTTTGCGACTTATTTTATGGCCACGACAGCGCGTATCGATCTAAGCCAAGGGACTTGGACATTTCGAGTAGAAGTCGTTGCATGTGAGCTGTAAATTGGGTTAAGCCCTTCCACACAAACTGGCTAAGACAGTTGCAGTCCTGGCCGACAGACAGACAGTTCCAGGACATTCTCGTGGAGCAGCCAAGTCACTCGATTTAATTATGGCCCGACTTGGAGTTCAACCCACTGCCTTCCAAGAATTTACGTTAGTCTACCTGGGCTTAACTTTCATTGTCTCGACGTCGTTTCCTGCTCCACTTTTGTTCAACGAAATAATTGCCGGCTGGCACGCAATGTCAAAAGACAGTAAACAGTATATTAATTATTTACTGCAACTGTTTCTTTTTTTAATTTTAATTTTTAAACAGTTAATCTGGGTTTCTCACAAGGTTGCTTACTTCAATTATATAATAAATCCAAATCTTTTTAAGCAGATAACTTTTAAGATGTACAATTAATAAAACTAATAAGTATCACATCATACATCATCTATATTATCTGCATTCCAACAACTCATTCGCATAAAATCTTTAAAAATCAATATGACACATATGGTTCATCCATCTGCTTCAAGGGTTACTCATATTTTTCTTTTAATCAAACAAATACCATCCCTCTTTTTTATGCACTTTATATATCCATTCTCTGATATCTTTGAGATAACTACACACGCATGTCATAGAAGCACTTAATAAATTAATCCACAATAAATCTCGCTCCCCCTTAGTTTTCCGCGATCAGGATAATGCCTTAACCCAAACAATGACCCCATGAGCAATTAACCCAGTTGCGGGCAGACCTCTTCAGTCTAGACTCCAGACACACTCCAATAACCGGCAGCGCTTTAGACCAATTAAAAGGAGCTGTGGCGAATCATTCCTCGACAATCAATAAAGCTCACTTGCCCGGAAAGAAGCGGCAGACACGCCTTCGGCACGCACCTTTTGAATAATTTAGCAGTAGAGCTCACTTTATTGGAGCCGCTGGAAGAGAACTCGAGCCTACGTGGCTTCGTTTGTCAAATGAATTGGCAGTTGATGTCAGGGGCGTCGCCATCGTTCGCACTGCCAAAAGTGAGGAAGGGGTTCCTGCCACGTGGCAGTCCCACACCTGTGCATATACTCGTATTTATTTGCTAGCCAGCCAACATTGAGTACATATCCCGGGCAGCTGCAACCATTTATCATGTCATGTATGGGAGGTGAGTGCCCAAAAAAAAAAAAAAAGAAAACTTATATACTTCCTCCTGATTTATGTGGTGGTAAAATTGATTGCGGTCACCAAATGCAGCCGCACCCCAGCATCAATATTTAAATATTATGTATGCGTTTTTTTCGACAGTATATTAAAAATTAATTCCGTATGAAATTTTAAATGTGGTGCAGCTTTTGGGGCTAGCGAAGCGAATGTGTGTAGTTTGGGGAAATCATTTCACTTTAAAATTTCAGCATTCATGCGAGAGAGACGGCAATCCCTCAACTGGGAGACACTTGGGCTCCCTGTCCGGATTTCTGTGCAGTGATGTTGAAATCCTGATAAGCCTGCTGACATCTCAACTATCCCACAGCTGACAGATGGGCGGGGCAACCCGGCAATCCTGCTGCTGTTGGTTCGAGTGCTTTTAATTAAAATTTTAAACGCTGACGAGCTTACGGCTTTAAGAGAACCTGCCGCTGTCACCGAGTGATTTTTAATGGAGTTTTCTAGAAGTGAGTGCTATTTATTTGCCATCAAAACTTAGCCCATACATCAATGTCCAATTTGTGGTGTTCCTAACTAACCTATAAATAAATGTCCACGTTGCAGACATATTTTCTGTATAGGTTTTCCCATATCCGATGCACATGCTGAAGATAAATTTATGGCTTTTGGGTATGGGTGGAAATCCAGTACTTATATGGCATAGCATACTTGCAGGCGTCACTTGCACCATAATCTGCACACACACTTGTGTTCTGACCGCACAAGTGTGTGTGAGGGAAATTCGTGTGCGTGTTTAATCTTCCCGAAGGGACCTTTCAAGTTTTATGCGGGCAAAACAAGCAAAATGACACCTCGAAGCATAGTTATCGCCAGCAAGATCCTTGTTCTGCGGTCTCATTCGTTTGTGTGTGTTGGTGCATTGGTGTAGCCGTATCCCTTAGAAGTGCCAACCACATTCCTGGGGAACAAGAAAATGTCTTTGTCCAATGCGTTTTGGGGTGAGCACGAAAAGTTTGTTTTTTTAATTTATGCGGAAAGCTAAGTTTAAGTAAGTTACAGCACAATATTTTCTAAAAATATACAAACAAAAAATACATTTTCATAAAACCTATTGTGCACGTATTCTTAACCAATCCTTTTTTATTTTTTTCTTAGTTTGTATCAATTCCCTTTTATTTTTCCTCTCGAAGTTAAATTACCAAATTGCAAATTTTTCTTACAAGAACTATTAACAAATATTGAGTTTAAGCTATGCAAATTGTATTCCTATCTTGTCATAAAAATGCAGCTGTGCGAAAACTTCGCTTTTCGGCTATGTTGTTTTGCTACTTTTGCCGCAGCCCTCGACTTGCTTGTAAAGTTTTTTCATTTGCATTTTGTTTACGATGCATTTTTGCCATTTGACACCATTTTGTCTGGCACAGACAACGCCGTGTGTGTACGAAGCAGAGCGGCTTTTATGGTTTCCGCCGGCCAGGCCTAGCCCACAAAACACCTGACCAGATGGGTTGCATGTTTGCCACAGCTGGACTCCAGCCCCTTTTCCATTTTGCTCGGGTGCGTGCCTTTGTGCCGCTGTGGCTTAGTTTGCTCGATTGCTCAACTAACTTGGCCTGTGGGATGTTTGCTGCCATTTTGCGAGGTCTGCGCCAGCAATTAATTCACTCAGCAGTGGCCCCAGCCCGGCAGGAATGATGCTCCTGCCACAAATTTAATTGCCGGCTGCATTGAAATGAGACACACTCTGAAACAGCAAGACGGACTGACTGACTGATTGACCGGCAGTCAAAAGTCATTTCCCGACCTCGTAGAACGCCTAACAACAATACTGAACAAAATTTTTGTTTTACTCTAGAAACTAATGTCTAAAAATGTCAACAAAGTAATTTTAAATGGTAAACTAGCCCCAATTTTTGAATTATTGCATTCTTACAAATAATTTTATAAACTCGAAAGTTTTGAAAATTTTTTTTTTAACTAAACAAATGTTTAGATTTTGTCTTACAATTTGTATACTTTTCGGAACAATACTGTTTTTTTCCCGTGTGTACAATATAACCACCATAGGTCGCCGTCTAACGAGGCACATTGGCCAACCAACCCAAGTCAACTCTGGGTTGGAGGTCACCTTCATTAAATTAAAGAACACTGCTCATTTGCATGGCCGCCTTTTTTCCGCTCTCTCAGTTGCCTTCTCCCATAAATATGGATTTAGTTTCCGTTCAAATAAAAGCAGAACAAACTGCGAGCCACATTTAATTAGTGCGAATTAATTTGTAACCGTGGCGAGGTATTTAATAGAGCTTCAATATAATTAAAATATGAGCGCATCTTGCAGATAGGCGTTGAAATTAACCCGCAAAATCAACAGCGAAGCATTTGATTAAACTTATGCATAATTAATTGTTCTTTGGATACTATTTATTCGCCATTTAAACTGAAATAAACATTTTAATGAAATGTATCGCGTACTCATATTTTATGGTAAGGTAGTTTGTAAAAGTTCTGAGTTCTCTACCTTAAATTGAAAATTATAAATTGGTCTTATAACTTCAAATTCAACATTGAACTAAAAAAAAAAGATTATGTGATTGAATAAAGAATATTAATTTTCTGAACTCCAGTTAAAAGTTTTTGCTTAATGCTAATAAATTGATTGATTTAAACCATATTTAAGTTGACTTTTGGATAGTAAACCATCATATTAAATGATATGCTACAATGAAGAAAATAATTTTAAAGTTATTTTCCTAATGCGAATAAATTGGTTTATTTGTGAAATGGATTTTTAAGCCCATATTTAAATAGATTTTGGAGAGCAAACTGTAATTTCCACATTGAAGTTTGACAGCAAGGCTTACCAATTTTGGTTTTGGCAAATTAAATTAAATTGATTTCGCAAGAAAAAGTTTTCCCCATAACTTGAACGTTTTTCGGTCTGCCCCACCCACTTAACTTTAGGAAAACTCCCAAGCCACAGCTTGCAAACGAGTTATGCAACAATTTAATGTCAACATAC